TCCCAAGTACTGAGTGACTTGTTTGAAACCCCCAAGGCCTAGGTAAGTAGATGAAGGAGAAAGAGAAAGAGAACGACCCGGTGAGCTCAGGGAGGGAGGGATAGATTTATTTCTACCACGACTAATACTAATACTGAAGGGGTATTGAATCAGTCGGCAGGTTATTTTGATTCCGTTACTTACACGGTAAAATAGATCCGTTCGGCACCAAGGCTTGCTTGTTTGTACAACAATCTTGGGCAATTTACCGAATTAACGACCTAAAAGTCAACATTTTGAATGGGCGCGGCAGGATCCTTACCCTCAATTTACACACAGCCTTTGAAGGTCCCCGCTCATTCGCCTATTCCCGATGAAATTTTTTTAAGTAGAATTCAAACGGCACCGTTCCAAGTTCTGATCCCCTTCTTGACTTCCTTTGTCAATCATATCCTGCTTCTTGCGAAAGAAGCGAAAGAATATATAGCATCCAGGACGACCCATACAACATCCATCGGCTCCGTTCAAAACGGACCGAGGTAGAACAGGTAGTGCAGTAGCCGTGAACCAGTGTAGAAGTCTTGCATAGCAGGGTATCCTCAAGCGCCCGAGTGTCACACCACAGCCCAAGTGTCACAACACAAATTTTTCTTCCGCTTCAGACACGGACAGCCACCGCAACCAGAATAGTATAGATGTTACATAGCTTATCTTCGCATATTTACTTACAAAACTTTACAGTCAGTCCTTGCCCTGCGTGAATCGACAGAGAATGCATTAAAAACGATGGGATGATAGATGCTAATGTAAAAAAAGATACGAAATAGTCGGATCGATCAACCCAAGGCGTCTAACTCCCCCGAGGATTGAAGAACCATGACGCACGCTTTGCTGCAAATGATCCGTTAGCATCTTAACAAAACAATGACCTAATTGATCCAACTAACCTCCACTGTCGGCACCGCGAACGCAAGGTTAGACGCCAAGTAAGCAATCTGAGACAACCACTACAGTAAAAGAATTCACCTTCCGTCTTCGTTCTGAATGCGAGCCAAAGGGTTTCCTGACGGCGCACCGCCTGAAACCGGTGCAGGTGCCACAACAGGGCCAGGTGCTGCTGCAGAACCCCCGCCACCCCGCAGTGGCTTGGCAATCCGTCCAAAGTTTATTGGATTTGAAGTCTTTTGGGCTACATATGCTAGAGTTGAGATGGCATCAACGCAAACATGTCGTTATCCGGCTCACCTCGTGCCTGCTCCAGTCGCTCCTTCACTGATTGGAGCTGTGTTTCAAATTTCTGGTTTTGGATAGCCAACCGACGGTCAGCATCTTGCAGCAAAGTTTCCAAATTTTGTATCCGCTCGTTTCGTGCGAGTAATTTTCGCTCAGCGATTCCGGCCTCTTTCTTCAACGCCGAGTTCTGGTCGACGAGCTGTGAGAGTAATTGAGCTCGTAAAATATGTACCTGGGGTAAAATAATATATGGACTCGCCTGCTTCTGGACTAACGTTAATTGCTCCAAGTTCCGCTCCAGGAATGCCATCTTCTTCTGTTGCGCCTTGCTGTTACTGTTTCGAATAACGTTGTTGTACTGTTCCTTGATCTCATCCAATTGGATCTCGAGCTCGACGACCTGACACGTGCATGATAAGTAGAAGATAAGAGAAGCTTGTTGTCTCGAACAAACCTTCTCGCAGCGATTCTGCAGATCCCGTACGAGGGATTTCTTGACGCCATCAAATTCTGCCAACTGGACGTTAATTGCTTTCCGGGTTCGCTCGAGGTCCTGTGCGCTCTCTGCCAGATTCTTCCCTCCCTCGATGCCTGCGGAAGTAACTGCGAACGCACGCTGCACAGAGGACGGCTTAGTTAGCAGTTGGGATGAAACGGAAAAAGCTAAACCTTGAGCTCCTCGTTGACGCTCTTCAGACTGTCGATGGACGCATTCAGAGTGCGAATCTCGTTCGTCTTCAACTCCATTTGCTGCTTAAGATCAGCCACTTCGCTGATGTTTGCGTCGCGTTTGGCCGCATATTGCATCTCGAGCTTGTTCTGCACGGTAGATTGCATTAAATGAATACAGTTGTCCTCAACGCATGTATGACTCACCTTGAAGTCTGCCATGGACTCCACGATGTCGGCATTGCTTGTCTCCTCATCATGGATGGTTTTCTCTGTTCAGCAAGGCTCGTAAGGATTGGACACCCCTATATGTCTCACCACTTACCAAGAAGCTCTTCATAATCAGCTTCCAGTGCCAAGAACCGGGCCTCAATCTCATCTCGGCGGCGAGTAATCATTTCATTCTCTTCTTGGCTTTGCCTGAGGCGATCGACGGTCTCGCGTACAAGCGAATGGCTTTCTGTGAGCTGCCTCCTTGCCGCAACAACGTCGTCGATGCTCAATGTCGAGAGAGCGCCTGCCGTGTCGATAGTATCAAGCTTAGCAAGAAGCTGGCGAAGTTGCTCGTCTTTCTCGGAGAATGTGCCTTGCTGTGAACAAGGAATAAATCAGCGGTGCACACTTTGCAAGTAATGAAAACATACGGCATCGAATTTAGCCATCATCAAAGCCATCTTCTCCTGCTTGCGCTTCTCCTTGTCCTCCGCTGATGCATCTCTCTGAGTCGAGCGCAGATCGGTGATGACCTTCTTGAGCTCCTCCAGCTCGCTCTTTGCATCCTGGTTCTGCTCCTTCAGGATGTCGATAGTTATAATGCCCTCCTTGTTGTCGTAATCTAGACGCTCTACTTGCAGGCGGAGCTCGTTGAGTTGAGTAGACATCGATTTATTCTCCTTCGAAGCCGCTGCCTCCTGCTCCTTGAGGAATGCCAACTCTTCACGAAGTTCTTTGGACAACTTCTCTGCGGCATTCAGTACGCTCTCCTTCTCCGCAAGCTGGTCGCTGAACTCGTTCTCTCTCCTGAGGAATTCTTCTCGTTCATCCTTGTCCAAGCCCACAACTGTCGGTGTCTGCGGTCGACTATCGATTATCATCTCTGATCGGAGACCCTCCAATACAGGGTTTACTGGAGTCATGCTTCTTGTAGTGGATAGCGTCGGGGATGAAGTCGCTTTCTTAGCCGCAGCAGCGCCAGTAGTCGGCTTGTCAGCAGAAGCCCATTCGCTCGGTTCGACATGGCCACCAGCACGCCAAATAGCAAGCTCTGCTTCTAATGCCTGGATATATGACAGATGTCTGGTATTCGCAAGTTGAGCTTTTGACAGAAGGCCCTTGAGCTCCAATGGAGAGAGCTCCGCATTGACGCGAGCAGTGTTCTTGATTGATTTGGCTCGAATACCAAAACGAAGTGTTGACAATGTTTCGGACTCGTTGTATTGTGAAGGCGAACAGTTGATGATCAACGTCGTGCGCGAGTTACCACCGAGAGACTCTTGCAGTATACGGGTGAGTTTCGAATCACGATACGGAATATGTTTGACCTAGGAGACAAGTTAACCAAGATGAATCATGTTACAGGAAAGGGGAAGAATCATCTCCTTGTACGCGCTCTTACGTACCTTCGAGTCTGTTAGAGCATTTATCACCATGCCGAGAGCAGAGAGAGACTTGTTGATCTTCTTCGCTTCTTCCAGAGTTTGTCCAGAAGCGCCTGTCTTTCCCACCTTCTCGGATCCGGCAAGGTCGACGAGGTACAGGTTGCCACTCTTCTGAGCCCCCGTTTCGGTATTGCGTTGCTGAATGGTGATCAGAAAAATGGAATGCGACCGCGAAGATTCAGCGTTCATGTCTGCCGTCACGAGTGACTTAGAGGTTAACGCCACGATGTGAGGAGGCACACTTACTAGTCGAAGTGACGACTCTCGCGGCCCCTCCCTGTCTCATTATCTCGTAGACCTCGCGAGCGCTGCTGACGTAGTAATCCGAAAGGTTCTTTACATACACGCCTCTTGATTTTTCCTCGTGCACCTGGAGGTTGTCATTTTGGGCTGAAGTGGAATTCATCACTGGATTCACATGGAGGGATTCAAGATCTTACGGGCAAGGAGGTCACGTATGCGTTCAAGGTAGATCTCCAGATAGGAGACCTTGACGACATATTCGAGGTGAGAGTCTGATTCTACGATTGATTTAAAAATCTGTTCCGTGATGCGGGGTATAATTCCCTTGAGGTCTGATGAGTCAATATCCGCACCCTAGGGAACAGAAATCAGGAGCGGAATCCAAGATAATATGAATTTAACATGCCATCATGGTGAACGTCTTTCCACTACCAGTCTGACCATATGCGAAGACCGTGCCATTGTAGCCATCCAGGACATCTATTTACCGTATTAGCATCAATCTCCTTCCGCGAGATGATATAGCAATGTATGAAAGCTCGATATCACAAGACGGGGGTGCCCTGTCTCACCTTTTACAATGCTGCATTAGGAGGTAATCAGATGAGGCACGACAAAGACGCGTGGTTCTCGGAGCCACTCACTCTTTAACACCGTAATCGAACACTTCGTGTTGTTTCGTGCCCATCGGAAAAACTCTGTCGAACGTGAATCCATCCTTCTCTGGCCCAGAAACGGCCTGCGAGTTCTTCATCTGCACGGTCTGGAGATTCTCATCGAAGGCGACTACGATATCGCCGCCCTCTCTGAGTTCGAGAGCATTTGGGGGCCGAAACCTATTCAGTCGCGTCAGCAGGCGATAAGACTAGGTGCATCTCGATTGAATCCCGAAGCTAGGTTAGCACGTACCGACAAACAACCTTAATATTGGTCGAGGACGCCATGATGAAGGATGCGTCTAAGAAAGAAAGAAAATCTAGGGTACTTGTGTGGCCAGTAGTTGCGGTATCAATGAATAGTTGGAAGTCTAATAAATGGTTTTTGACACGGGCCCGCCTCAAGGTCGTGAACCAGTCAAAGAGCGCTAAATGAGAGAAAGGGCTAAAGCACGTGTTCCATTTCAGGCGATCAAGCAATACAATCGACCCTGGCTTAGCTAGTAGGCTAGGCCCAAATTCTTCTACATACCTCGACCAGGACAGGCTTAAAAGATATATACGACCAAGATATTACCTGCTCAGGATCTACCCTGGAATCCCCATCTTAATATCCCTAGTCAATTCACAAATGAATTCAGGTGCGTCACAGAAGCTTATAAGGCCGAATGCACCGGCGAGATTCTACGATTATAGCCTGTCTTGCAATTGCTGTTGTACAGTGAGGAAAAGATAAGATAGTTACAAGTCCTGAGTCCAGATCAATCATCATCACTCCCGACAGAAGGCGGTGCAGGAGCTGGTCTGCTTGATGAAGCCGCCGGTCTGCGAGTGCCGTGATCTTCTTTCTGTGCGGCATCAGCAGCATCTAGCCATTCTGAATAGATATCCACGGGCTCAGTCAAGTCTGTTGAGGTACGAAATCATGAGGTAGAAACTCGCGCAATCCGACTGGTACGCACGATTAACTTTGCTCTGATAACGCTGGTCGCATACTCTGCACACCAGCTGGGCGATGCCCTCTTTTCTGTCGACTCTAACTGTCACAGACTTGTCATGATGACAGAACAAGCAAGTGAAGGCCGTATCTACGGAACAAATTAGCTATAACAAAGAGATCGAAAGGCATCTAACGCACCTAATGGTTCCCTCCTCCTTGCCGCTGTTGCTGCAGCTGGTTTTCTAGAAGATTTCTTACGTTTTCCCATAGCTGCTCAAGCGCAAGAGCAACTTGGACTTGTGGTTGTGGAAATTCAGACAGTGGGATAGAATTGTGGCCGATTCCCACGGATGCATGTGACGCCGACGCGCTGTTGATTCTACGCGTTTTAACTTCATCGCTTCCTCAACTATCATCACAAGTCTTGCCGTCGACAACGATGGCTACGAGGCGACCTCCCATTTCCCGCTCAAGGGTACCTACTATTAACACAAAACCTCAATCCTCTATATCAAAGTCCAAGTCTGCTCTATCGACCATCACGTCACCGACTACAGAAGAACATCCAGAGCATGCGCTCGCAATCTCATCCTCCTTGAAAGGCTCCAGGTCCCAAGGCCAGGATAGTTCAGAGACTCACATCCACGTCGCCATTCGCTGTCGTAGACGTTCCGATCGCGAAATTCAGGAGAACTCTCCAATCATCGTCAGTTCCAACGGGGCGAAGAGCCAGGAAGTCACCATCGAGACTTCCGCACCCGTCTCTAGTCTAGGTGTTATTACGTTGGCGCCTACACGCACTTATCCCTTCGATCTCGTCTTTGGCCCGGAAGCGGACCAAGCCATGATCTATCACGACGTTGTTAGCCCCATGCTAGATGAAGTCCTTATGGGTTACAACTGCACGTTGTTTGCGTATGGACAGACCGGAACTGGCAAGACGTACGTCCCTTCCTTGATCACTCATGTTATCATTGTTGATTCGTTTACAGCTACACTATGCAAGGCGACCTGACGCCCACTCCAATGGGAAATCCATCCGCCCAAGCAGGCATGGTACCGAGAGTCCTGTTCCGACTTTTTCATCAACTCGAGACATCTGCTACGGACTACAGTGTCAAGATATCCTTCGTCGAGCTCTACAATGAGGAGCTTCGAGACCTGCTCGCGAACGAACTTTCTGCTCCTGCAGGATCTGCGCAGCCTATGGGAAAAGGTGGTCCTGGGGATAACCAAGTCGGTCTCAAGATCTTTGATGACGCCAGCAAGAAGGGCGTTTTTATTCAGGGCCTCGAGGAGATACCAGTCAAGGATGCTACAGATGCACTTGCCCTCCTCACGAAAGGGAGCCATCGCCGACAGATTGCTGCCACTAAATTCAACGACCACTCTAGTCGATCACATTCCGTGTTCTCCATAACGATTCATATCAAGGAGACGTCAACCATGGGAGATGACCTCCTGAAGGTGGGCAAGTTCAACCTCGTTGACCTTGCAGGCTCGGAGAACATCGGACGCTCTGGTGCAGAGAACAAGAGGGCACGAGAAGCAGGCATGATTAATCAGAGCTTACTAACTCTAGGCCGTGTCATTAACGCTCTCGTCGAGCGTTCAGCCCATGTGCCTTATCGGTAAGTGTACTTGATCTGCGAGTTATGTAGTTATACTGATACGTTTATATCTGTAGAGAATCCAAACTCACCCGCCTCTTACAAGACTCACTCGGCGGTCGTACAAAGACATACATCATCGCCACCATCTCTCCTGCTCGTTCCAACATGGAAGAGACCCTCTCCACCCTTGACTACGCCATCCGTGCAAAGTCTATCCGTAACAAACCAGAGATCAACCAACGGATGACACGAAACTCCTTGTTAAAGGAATACGTAGCCGAGATCGAGCGTCTTAAGGCCGACGTCCTTGCTGCACGCGAGAAGAACGGCATCTTCTTCTCTGAAGAGACCTGGAATCAGCTCACTACTGAACAGGAGCTCAAGCAGACAGAGATGGAGGAGGCCAAGAAGCAAGTTGAGATTGTGGAGAGTCACTTGAGGAGCGTCAGGGAAGAGTTTGAGCAAAGCATCGCGCTGTTAATGAAGACCGATGGGGAGTTGAAGCAGACGAAGGAGAAACTGAAAGAGACTGAGGGCGAGCTGCAAGTCACAGAGGGCCACCTCAAGGTGGCGAAAGGAGCTCTCGAGGAGGAGGTCCTCGTCCGCCAAGCATACCAAGTCAACGAAGAAAAGCTTGATGGAGTTGCCTTAGGGCTGAAGCAGGTTGCCGCTGAAACTATCGACGATATTGGCGCGCTCTTCGAGAAACTCCGTATGTATTTCTTTCTCTTGCTCTGTGCGTCAGTCAAACTAACGACAAATATCAGAGCGGAAGAACAAGACATTCACGTCGAATATTAAAGCCGTGTCCTCTCATGGAAGGTCTATCTCCTCCGAGGTGCAATCGCTCTCGACCAAAATCGATGACTTCATGAAGACCGCAGGGCACACCACGCAGACACTACGCGCGGAGGCAAAGCAGTTCCAAACGAAGGAGTTCGACATCCTCACCAGCCACTCCGAGCGGATCGACCAACAACTTCAGCGCATTCAGGACTCCCTTCGGATCATTAACGCAAAGGACGATGCGTCTGCAGAGGCTGTTGCAGCTATGCAGAACGCAGTCAAGGAATCGCAAGAAACTATGAAGAGCTCATTCAGCTGCTGGTCTGATAGCTTACGAACTACAACACAAACGATGTGCAAGGAGGTGTACGCTACAAATCAGAGTAACTTCGCCTCGGTAAGTACTGTTCTATTTCTGTTTGAATCATCAAATTGACACACGCAGTTGGAGAATTCTCTAAAGGCTATGGGGACACTCCTCGACTCCTTTTCTGCTCAAGCGATTGACTTCGCCAAGGCCGAAGGAGAGTCAGCCCTGCAAGCAAAGTCCCTCGTTGATGTCATGTCAAGGGCGGAGAACGCGGCTTTCCAGGAGCAAAATGCGCTTCTCATTCAAATAGCGGAAGCACAGAAGGTGAAATCTGCGAAGGCCAACGATGTACTCGTTCAACGTATATCAGACCTACTTGGGGAGTTCGTAGCTTCCCGTGATCGCGAGCTGCGAGAAGCCTGTGGAGCCGTTGTTAACGCCAACGTCAAACATCAAGAGGAATTCAGTGACTTTGGCCAGCGTCACGAACAATTGATGAACGAGGTCGCCACACGCAGCTCAGAAGCTAACACCTCTTTTGAGCGTACCGCTACAGAAGGAAAGAGGACACGAGATGGTGCTCTTAAGGTCAGTGATTTTTGGCCTGGTGGATTTTAGCCTTGCTGATCGCAAGGCACTCAGACCGTCGGATCTGTTCAAGTTGCCATCAAGGACGTTTTATTGGCCACACATAACTCGATCACAACTGCCACCACAACTTATACTGGTGAGCTGCAAAGACACAGCCAGACCCTCCAGACCTCCTTTGGCGCAGGTAAGTAATCCTGTGTATCCGTGTCGCATTTGATTCTCATGTTCCTTGAGGTCTTGATCGGCACGACCGTGCCAAGAGAGCGCGTATCGAGACTACCAACGGCTTCGCGACCGAGGTACAGACCGAGTTACGGCACCTGCAACGAGGTATTGCTTCCAGCTCAAGAAATGTTGAAGGCTTCAGCGGTCGTGTGGTTTCGGAGGCAAGTATAATTATCATTATCTATGAAGTACTTTCCCTAAACGTCATTGATCTCCTTCAGAGCACAAGTTTATCGGACACGATCGAAAAGCACGGCAACAATACGACTTCGAGGCTTGCTTCTCTGCACCAAACAGCCCGGTCACTGCTTGATCAAGGTACTCGCGAGGACGTTCCGACCGGAATGACACCGCGAAAACGTGGATGGGAATACGTCGATGAGTGGGAGCTGACCCAGAGTCGAGATGTCATTCTCCAGTCGCGGAGGCAAGGAGAGCCAATGAGGCACGCGTCCGAACCTCCCCCCTCGCAGCACCCGCAATCTCCTGTTGAAACCCTTTCAGAGCAAATGGAAGTCGACGCATTAATTGACGAGTGTTCAGACGAACCACAAATTCCAGTCCCGCCTTCACCTTTAACTTCCTCGACTGCCACCCTCACTGAAATACCAATCGCCCCTCCTGTTGTCGTTCCCAGAGTCTTGAAGAAACCTGCTACTCTGAAATCCGGACTGCCGACTATGGGGACGTTAGTGGATAGACCGCCGAATACTATGCGGAATGGGTCCAGAAGAATTAGATAGTATCTTTATTCATTCACCTTATTTCGGATGTTCCAAGCATCCCGTGCATTTCTGTATCATCAATCACTACCACCGAATCGTTCATTATTCTGCAGATGTTCCAGTATCATCGATCAACGCATTCGTTCATTTATTGCATGCATTTCTATATATCATCAACCAACACACTCGTTCATTATGACTTCAGATGTTCCAGTAGTTGCACTCAATACTATGTCTTGACAACTAAACTGCCGTGCGTGCTGTGTGATTATATCAGCATGTGACACTGCGGGTAAGCAAGGTCTACGCTTGCACGCTTCCTTCCAACACTCTCATTCTTGTCTTCATCTTCGCGATGGCAGCGGGGCTCAAGAGTGCGTATAATTATCACTGACGAACCTAGAATGTGGCGGCTGATTCGTGTGCAGCTGTAATATTGCTATCATTCGTGCTCGCTGTTGGATTTCTGTTAATCATACTCTCATGTGCACTATGGGCGAATTGGTTGCCATTGTTAGTTGGTGCGTATGGCTTGCGTGTGTTGTCCGCTGGTATTCTTATCCAAGTACTCTCAGCGTTGACGTTCGTGCTTGCTCCTCTGCCAAATGCCCTGTTTGCCCACTGCGGAGGAGACGAGTTTTCCTCAAGTGAAGGCGCCACGGGTCCTGTGGATCTTGGCCGCTTCCTGACTTCAATTGTTGTTGTTACCGGATTTGCGCTGCCTGTCGTCCTCACTCATTCCGAGGTCGTAAAACCAGGCGCTTGTGTAATGTCCATCATCGGTGGAGGGTACGTTTGTTTCGATTTCACCATTCTCAAGGCTCACTGTTTCGGGTGTAGGCTGGTGTATGGGACGATATTGGCGTACTCAGCAGCGTTCAGACAGGAAGATGAATATGATTGAGCGTTTGTACGCTTACACTTGAGTGTTGCAGTATACGAATATATCTATATCATTAACATCGAATACCGAGAAGGATTCGAATTGATGTTCTGCATGTTATGGTAGGGATATACGACTATGTTATTGTGTTGGAAGTATAACTCCCAGCGAACTCCGGCACGTTCTTACTCCTTTGGTTCGAGAATGATATTACTACCTTTTTTAACTGTCTCCACCATGCGTAGCACAAGCTCGATCTTTGGCCACACATCGTGATACATAGCGGCACTGTCTTTATCAAGCATATTGGTGACATCGTCCCTGATATCCCGCAGGAGAGGCTCAATGTACTTGTTGACGACGAAGTGAATATGCTCTTCGAGCTCTTCCATGAGATATTCGTGGGTTGGAACAACCGGCGTCGGAGGAGGAGGTGGAGCTTGTGAGATGTAGGCCTGTAGCGCTGCCGCTAATGCTTCTACTCGTTCGTCATTTTGCTGTGCCAGCTTGGCGTAAGCCTCTGTTGAGGACTTGAGCTTGAATGTAGACTAGTCAGATACATGCATCGTTCGTTCTAGAGTCACTCCTTACCTCGACTATCTTAGTTTTGAGCTGCTCGTTTTCCAGGCTTAACCGCGTAGCCTTGTCGTCGGTACCTTTGGTCTGCATCATCAAGCCCTCAACCTCCTGTGCCACTACTCTCAGCTCTCGGTCTGTTGTATTGATGGTATCCAGGGCCTTGCCAGTCTCAGCCTGCACCACAGCAATCACAGCAGCCGACGAAAGCTTCGTATCATCTTCATCCGGAAATATCTCCTCCTCTTCTAGCCGACCTTGGATGCGAGAGTCGATCTCATCCCCCACGATCGTGTCGCGCTGAAAAATGTCATTCTCGAGATCATCCAGCTGGCGCTCAACACCGCCCAAGCGTTCTTGTATCCCATCCAAGGCACTGAGCGAAAAAGTGGCTTCACTAGCGTCAGCTGGGGCAACCTCTCCCTCTTCTAGCCTCCGTTTCTTCAGTGGGGGTTCACCTGAATCTCTGGAGGCGGTTCCAAGGTCCTTCATTCTGAGGAATGCAGAGAAAGATGTACCGAGGTCGCTGACCGAATCTTTCAGTGCTGATATCTGTTGCTTCATGCCGAAAAACTTGGCTTCCACGCTCTGCAAGTCAGGTGGCTTGAGAGCCGGCCAGAATTCTGATGCAGTGAGTTTTTGGATGGTATCGAATATCTCTGCCTTCTTCGTCTCGCATTGCGTCTCCAGGAAATGTCTTTGAGTTGTAATACGGGTAGTTGACGCGCCGGTCATGCACGACGACTCGCCCGCTTTGTACAATTTCAAGTCTGACTCCGCTACGCTCAACTGTTCGCGCGCTTTTACAGATGCGAACAATAGACTAAAGAGATTGATTAGCTTGCGTGCCAGTAACAGGAACACGACGCACTCCACTCTTTCATGCCAGACTTTGCGTAGTTCATCTGCTGATAATGCTCGGGACTTTTCGGGTGCCCTTTGTGATATGTCTATCGAAAGGAAAGATGGTGTCAAAGGGACGGGAGGTGGTGGTCTCGTAGGCGGAGTTCCTTGAGGAGGATGCGGTGGGCGCGAGGGTGGGGGAGGCGGAGGCGGAGGCATGACGGGCTTTATGGATATCTGGGGCCGTGATGGCGATAACCGTCTTGGTGCTATCGGCGAGCGAGCTCGGTCGCCACGCCTCCCGCGGTCATCCAAAGGGGGAGAACGACGTCTGGAGTAAGATGACGACGAACCTGCCATGCTCGTGCGCCGGTGATAGCCGTCATCTCTTCGTAACTTTTCGAGCTTGTCTGATTCAGCCACTGATGTGGCAGGTGACCGTGACCGTCTGCCGTTCCTACCGTCTTTTGAAGGGCTAGCGTATTGTCGGCGATCGCGATGAGAGTCTGGTGTCACAGTAGAGTTGCTTGATTTCCTGTTTCTGCTGGTCATCTCGTAGAAGAATTCACTGTCGTCGTCGATGACCTCGTGTGCCCGAGGAGGGAAGGACGAATCAGCAGTGTCCCATTCTTTTTCTGTCGGATGTACAAAGAAACAATCACTGTCGGACCTCCAGCAACCAGTTGCTCCCCCTTTCACCCGCCTGGGTTTCTTATTGTCATCCCAGAGCTAGAATGGAAACAAAGAGACGTAAAATGTGGTAAGTTCTTCAGGAGCATCGAATAAACTTTTAGGCGGGGCGCACGCACGTTACAGCGCTTTACTTTCGGAGGGCGCGTCTTCATTTCAACAATAAATCGGTTACTTTAGTGCAATAGTGATTTTAGAGCGTTCGAGACAATGAGCAGCAATGATGAAGCATCCAGAACGGAGTCAAATTTGACCGACACACCGACATCATGTACAGAAATTTACTATTATAGGAAGTAACCGAGTAGTGTAGGCTGAACAGGTAAGATGGTGTCTACAACCAAGTGGATAATGGATAGATGGATGGATATGCACGCGTTAAGATGCAGGAAGTTCTAAACCCGCCACCCAGCGGTTGACGGCTTCACTGATCTTCAAGCCGGGCTCGATTGCATCCCAGATTACCTCAAACAGCTCTCCATGAATGCGCTGGTTTTCTGTCCGGCAGTGGTCGGTCAACTTCTTCATCTTAGGAATGACATCGCGCGATATAATACCCTGCACCACAACATCAACTGCTCCACGAAGGTCGTCATACATGACTTTAATTGGTGGTTCGGCAGGGGGTGGAGTGCGTCGCGATTTAGAAACCGCCTCAAAGGAAGCCTCGAGACGCTGAATGGCTTCGGTTTGTTCTTGAATCAGTTTCCGATTGGCAGCGGACGTCTCTTTGAGCTTCAAAAGAGATATAATGAGAAGTATCAAACATAACTGCTGAAGATCTACCTTGGCTATCGACTCTTTAAGTTCTTCGTTCTCAGTTGTGTGAGAATCCTGCGTTTTCTGAATCTCGTCCTGACGAACGAGTAGCTGTGCGATGTCATGGATAGGCGCATCCAAAGCTGCGCTCAGCTCCGTCGCTTTACGAGAAACATCTTCTATAGCGCCAGTCGCTTCGGGTGGTAAGTCAACCTTTGGTGGAGGCAGCTTAGCTTGTTGGGCCCTGGCCTCCGCTCGAGCATCGCGCAGAATTTTCATCTTCTTGTCGATTCTGTCATTGATAGTAGCCATAGGACGCATCGAAGACTCAAGCGTCAGCGTTGTTCGCAATTCCTCGAGTCGCTCCTCCTGTTTGTCCAAACGAGATCGCACTGTATCCAGGCCGTTTGGAATAACGGGTGTTACTTCAGGTGGTTCATCTTCATGAGGAGTGGGTTGGTTCGTCGGGGGGTGTTGGCGAGTGTTGGCGATGAGCAGCGGGCGGATGTCTGACAACCAAGCCCCGACTTCATTTAAGTAGCCTGTCACCTCGTCTCCAACATCGTAGCGTCGGTCATAATCTATGCCAGATTTCAACTTGTCTCCAATCTCCGCTAGTTCCCTGATTGCCTGTGATAGTTTATCTGAGTGACCGACGCAAATTTTCTCGAGCTCTATCCGATGACCATCCAGGCGAATGCGGCCAGCTTCACCGATGCGGGAATAAATAGCAGACTTCTGCGCCCTTCTCCAGTTTTGACGCTCTACCTCTGCCTTCGCGAGATCTACTTTTGCTCGAACGGCGCGATCGCATAATCTGCATTGTTGTTTCAGCGTAGCTCTTGGTGTAGATGTTCGACTTCACGCACCTGATAAAATCCCTCCAGGTCTCCTGCTGCTTCTCGAGGTCTGAGCCTCCGTGTTTCCTCTTACGATTGACAGTTGACCCTGTCACTGTCGATAGAGAAGGCGACCCGCCACGAGTATTCTCTGGTAATGTCACGGTATTCCGCTGCCAAGTCTCCACATCTATACGGCCGTCCTCAGAGCGGCTGGCAGACAGTGGCGCTGGTTGTTCTATGGCCATCGAGTTGTTTAATGCGCTCGACTGGAGAGGCGGAACACGAGGTCTCTCAGAGGACTCCGCAGGCGAGGGCGCTGTCATATCCAATTTCTTGCCCCATCTAGTATTTGTCATCGGGACGTCATTCGTCCCGGTCATCTTGAGGGGACGAGTGTCTTCCTCGTCGTATTGTGCTCGTGAGCCACGGCGCAAGGGGCGTGGCGGCGGAGGGACTGTTGGTGGTTTGGACCTGTAATTCTCTTGGTCGGCGTCGTTGCGTTTCGGCTGTGCAATGGACGTCATTTCCATCGTCACCGACGCGCCATATCCATCAGGAGATTTGTCACCACCGGGAGGATTCCCCCACCCGCCACCGGAGGTGCCCTTTGTTCCGACGTCGGTGTCCCAAGTATTGCTTGAGCCCCATCCACCTGCAGAAGATTCCTTTGCTCCTGGGCTGCTAGGTTTCTCCTGCGCGCGGTCGCTACCAGAAGGCTTACCCCACTCGAACGAGTCACGATCCCATCCGACTGCAGAAGATTCCTTTGTTTCTTGGACGCTACGTTTCGCCTGTACGTGCGACGTCATGTCCGTTGTCCCTTTGTCGCTATTGGAAGGATTGCCCCACCCGTCACCCCCACCTGCAGAGGAATCTTTTGTTCCTGAGTTACCGCCCCATGAGTCCGTGTCGCCCCAACCGCCTGTAGAAGCAGATCCTTTTGCTCCTGAATCCAAGCCCCATGCGTCGTCAGTGCCCCATAGGGAACTCATGTCACCGCTGGCTGGTTTAACGGGATCTGAGGCGTACACGTTAAACATGCCAAGCTACATGAAAAAGCCCAGTCTACTTACCTTTTGAACTTGTCATCACCCAGCCCGAGCTCTGTGCATTGGAATCAGATCCTCCTCCAGTATCCCATCCCAACGCCGAAGATGAGTTATATGTATTGACGGGTGCAGATCCGCGCCCTCTTCCACGAGCAAATGATCCTCTCGATTCACCCTGAGGAAATGTTAGTGAAAGAGATTTCCGTAAGTATACCAAGGTTCACCCACAAAACTTCCACCTCTGCCCATTCCGCGACCTCTTGTAAAACTGCGAACTTGTGCTGTTTCCCAAGCGGGGCTGTCTGGATGAACGAAATTGCATTGACCTCCTCGGTAGCAACCTCCATCGAGAGGATTGCCGTTTTCATCGAAGAACTAAGTTGTCACTGTCAGTAAAACGCACACATTGACAACTCAGGGGAATTAAATGGGTAATTCTGAGACGCTAGAGACAAGTGGCACGTTGATTAACTCACCCTACAGCGCGTCTGAGCCATCGCTGGGTCGATAATTGCCTGGGCTCGCAAAAACCCCTGATGAGTCTGTGGCAGGTGCAGACACTTGCTAGTTGATGATGGCGGAAACTAAGGATGCTGGATAGATACTGTTTTGAAACGATCTACAACGCGATATGCAGATGGCGACCCTTCGGGAGTTCCAATTGATTTTATCAATCGGTGTTTACACAAAGGGTATGAAGCACACAAAGAAGTAGAGCTTAACACGAGGTTTGTGAAAAGTTCCCACACCAATAGAAAGTATGCACAGCGAAGGCCCGCCGTTATATTGTATATTTCCAACGGCAGAGGCCATAAGTAAGTACTCAAACGATCCTAGCGTAACCTATTTCTACATACTCAAGAAAGCAATCGTCATGTCATAGGCCGTCTCAATCCGTACGTGTCAAACGCAGTCCGTGAACCGTGAGTTATCGTGTAAGGTGTACAAAGGGAGATGGCAAGGCTGAAGTAGAGTGGGGTCGTACGAAAAACCAAGCTGCGCTGAAGAAGAACCAGTAAACAAGAATAAAGATGAAGCAGCTGGTGAAAGAAATAAAGAAGAGAAAAGGTCCAACTACCACAACCAGCCACGTGAATTCGGTGGCGGTCGCCGGGTCGGCCGGGCATTGCGACGCATTGTGACTTCTCTCACATCATCATCTTCATACTCTTCCACCTCGTACTCATCCATCTCCTCAAGCCGCAGAGGCTCCCGAATAATCTCTTCTTCGACAGTGATGGCTGTGGTTCTAGGAATCTGAGTGGTGTAAGATGACGAAAAGGCTTCAGGCGTAGGGAATGCAGCAAAACGGGTATTAGCAGGTGGGGGAACCGTGACAGTCGAGGCAGGCAACGTTTCATATTGGATGATGGTTTTTGTTTCAGTTTCAGCGATTAACATAGGTGGAAGCTCCTGTGCAACAAACAAAAAACATCGTCAGCAAAACTGTTCTGTCGCGGCAACAAGAGATCCAGTTGGTGGCTAGCACGGAAAATAACCCCAAAATTAAATCAAGATTTGGCCATTAGCCGTCACGTGTAGCGTGTTTCGATCGCGTCGCATCTAAAAGTAGCTATAACCACCAACTGGTCTCCACTTTACCGCAAGATGACAAGGGGGACGAGATAAAAACCGTTGTCCCCCAAGCCCGGACGAAGGAGGAGATACAGACTATTACACAAGATGGAGTAGAAAGATTTTCCGATTTCATTGATTGTCACAAGAAACGGAAAATCCTCCTTCGTCTCAGAGCTCGGGACGGCGCGGGACGATTGGTGGTACCTTGAGTTTCCGCTTGCCACCAGCAGGCTCATAGAAAACTTCTTCCTCGAGGGAAGCTCCATCGTTGTTGATGAGACTGTACAACAGCTCGGTGAGTAATTCAATCGTGACCAGTTGGACTGAAGGAACATACACAAGCTGTTCCATTATCCAAGCCTCGCGTCTGGAAGAGTCGTGCTCTCTCCTGTTCACACTCTCCTCGCGACGAGTAATCTCGCGTTCACGTTCGCTAACCCTCAGCTCGCGGTCCAGAATATCTTCGGCGCGGGCGTTAGCCTCTTTCCACCAACCGGGAGGTGCAAGGTCTGCTTCCTTCACGACTTCTTTGATGATAGTCTGTGCAGGCGCGAAATCTACGATCGTGGCGGTGGGGCAGAGAGGGCAAACGACTGGGGATTGGGTAGGGAGCACACCACCCGGTGCGCCAACGAGAAGCTCTGCCTCACGACGAGCTACCTCAGCTTCACGCGCAGCAACATTGCCCTCACGAGCTACGAGAGCTTGCGATCGTTTGGGAGTCAGATAACCCCAGAGTCCAGATGCAGCAGGGTCTTCTGCTCCCGCTGCCTTCGCGCTTGCACTACTGGATGCGGGTAGCGAAAGCATGACAGCGAGGACTGCAAGGACTAGGGAGAGAACGAGGAGAAGGGTTGTTGAAGAAATGGTTCGGTGATGGTGGTGTCGCTCTCGCTCAGAGCGGTGACGGTGCTCTCGTTCACGTTCACGTTCGCGGTCACGCTCATGGTGGGATGAAGAAGGGTTTGCCATCCTTTGTGCACCGTTCCGGACGCTGATTGAGCTCGAAGGCGAAACGGTGGTGTGGGTTGGAGCGCGCAGGTTGGCCGTCTTGAAAAAACCCGTGTGTAAAATCGAAAAGGGTTATTGTCTACTTGACAACGGTGATCAGAATCTAGAAGTGTTGTTTGAAAAAACAGTTGAATATAGAGGAGTTTGGGGGGCAGCGCAGGATGGAGGAAAGGAAGGAAAGAACAAGTTGAAAAATGAACCAATTGCTCGAGTTGCCTTATGCGTACTTCCCTTTATTTGCACAACCACTTTCGGAACCAAATAACAACCACACAACCACAACCTTCTCCCAAGACAATGGTAGAACTCTAACATACACAATAGAAAAAATTGGTTTGATGCCTTTCAGAAGACGTACTCTGGGAACGGCAGGCAAAGTTTGCATTCACCTAATGCAGTCATGCTATGTACTATACGATGCATCATCCAAAGGACCCTCCAGACGAAGAAATGTCGATCTTTTACTGATCCGCGTCTTCGCACCAGGTTGATGCGAGTAATCGCCCCGTGTAGATATTCCCGGAGAAACTGATACAACACCGGGAGGGAAATATAATGGTCGATACGTAGATACAACCGAATCCTTTATAAACAAATATTCTTGGCAAAAGCAATGGGAGTTCTTTGAATTATTATGGACGGGGCCCGGCCGGGTTCTTGCGACGTGTCGGGCTTTAGTGGGTCAAATCACAGGCGCTGGTATGCAAGACAGCTCATACGACGTACGTCTTCTCCATGGTGTGAGCTGCCTCGCGAGCCGCTATGTAACCGTTCCATCAGCAACGAAAAACAAAAACCTGCTCAGTGCAAACAATGAAGTCAGCTGCCTCCAAGCCCAGAACTGTGAAACATGACGATCTTCAGCCGTATAATCAACGCAAGAGACATTGTTTATTTCTCAATACCCCTTCCAGGAAAATACTTGAATCGTCATTCAGCAACGCATCTAGCAAACCGGACAGGGCTGAATTTTACAACTAACGCGCACCCGATGAACAAACTCGCAACATCGAACACCCTGTATGCCTCTCGGGAGCCCAGCAAGAATGACACACAGGCGACAATGAGGTATCCCCAGTGAAGGTATGATCCCGCCCTATGATGCACATCAGTAATTCTCAGTCTCAACAGCAACAAACAGCACTCACTTTCCGTGCGATAATAGAGCGCTTTTTCTGCGACTCGTACAATCAACAAGCACAAGGAACGGTGCGACCTTGAAGACGTTGTGGTCACCATTGAACGGGGCCGTGTACCCAGCAGTCATCAAGGTTCGCACCCAAACCGCAAGCACAGGCATCGACAAAGGCAGAAGCCAAGTCATCAGCAACAGGAGATGCGTGTTCTCATGGTGAGCTTGGATGATATCCAGAGTGTCAGTGATGGTGGCCAAACCCTGAGGCCGGCGCATGTCCTGGATTTCAAGCTCTTCGGAGGGCGCTATTTCATTGGTCTCAGCGTCCTGTGTGTCCTGCTCGTGGCCGTCGAAGCGCTCACGCAGAGGAAGCGACTCGGTGGGTGTACTTCTGAGAGAAGGCGCAGAGCCAGGGTAAGGCTTTCGATGTGCTGAATTTGCACATGTGTGTAGATGAATCAACCAGCATCCGATAAACGCGATTTGCCACGGGACAAACAGGAACACCAGAAGAGAGATGAAGATAATAGAGACGACGGTGCTTCGTGACATGCCCTGGTCATTGTATTGCCTGCTCCTGCGGAGCGTATTGTTTGAGAAATAAGTCTGTCCTTTTGACTGATAATTACTCACTTTGCTGGCAGCAACCGCGTGAAGAGTCTCAAGGGCCACATGAGGAGTAATATGAACCACCAGCTGACACATACCAAGCCAGTGGCGACAACCAGCAAGACTGGCGCAAGAAACCCGAGAAACGATTCTCCTCGGGTTCCTAAGTAATAACCAGGGCTCAATGGCAACAAAGCTACAACGAAGGATGCAACAAGTAGTTTTGGCATGGGGCGACAGATGAAGGTGACCAACGATTGTTGCACACTCGGCATTGAGCCCTTCCCGCTCTCGCGCCACGCATGGAACATCAACAGCGCAACCACACCTGAACTCCAGCTTATTAAGATGGTAGGATACCTAGTGGCAATCCTCCCAATAGTTGCCCACCAGTCGATAGTCAAGATAAATTCATTGACATCTTGACAGCCAGTGCCAGACGAGTATATCCAGAGTTCTGAACTATGGGACGGAGTAAACCTTGAGAGGGGTATAAACGGCGCTGACGCATGTGTATGGATGGCGACTGGTTTATCATGTTCCAGACGATAGTAATGAGTTTCCGCTGGATGAGACTTGTGCACCAAAAGCGGGGGAAGAATGGGCTCTACATCGGAAGAATCATCAGCAATATTTTCAATAACTCAAACACCGATTCTACACATACGTGCACATGACACCGTGGGTTCGGCTGATCTTGGAGTGAGTTTATATATCAAGAGCGCGTTCGAAAGTAACTTCGGGAAGGTGATGTGCCTTCGCATTGAACTCTGTTCAACAGATTGCAACGAGAGCTTCGCGCCACCAGCAAGGATATCTGTCGTGCAATTAAGCAACAGCGAACAATACAAGGCATTGAAAACGAACCAAAGACACCAATATCACTTTGAAGAGTCTGAGTCTTGTCAAACCCTCCGAAAACCCAGCCATCTTCGCCGGCGGCATTAACATGAACACCGATCCAAGCGTCCTCCACATCAGCAGGTATACGTGGTACCGTGGCCTCGAAAAGGACTACGCCGTCGCTCTCATCGGACCCTTCATCTGGGACAGGGAAAGGCTTTCCCGGTATAGGACTTGGCAAGAGCTTCAGAGTACTGGGCTCAAGCGGTACACACGACAGGGACTCTGAATATTGTTGTATTGTTGGCGATGTCGCACGTCCAACGCAGAAGTAAGGTGATGCCTGAAGTCTGGTCGAATGCTGGGATCCAATAGACGATATGCTGCCTCGTGATACAAACAAGACAAACGTAGTGTTCGTCTCAAGAGTACGCGGTATAGGGAGGAGGTATGTCCGAAATCCAGCGGGTTTCTTCAAGACTAGATTCATATCCTCTGGGAGAGCCTCGTTCGTCGCTGCCTCGGAGATATCTATGCTTGTTGCAGGAGGAATGAGACGTCCATTTCTATTAAGCCAGGTGTCCAGAATAACTGCCATGTCTACATTGGAATTTGCTCCTCCAAGCTCGAGGGCAGCGCGAGCAACCCGCCATCGCACCTGGTGACACCATACCATTTCGCGATGTCCAACCCCAGTCCATGCACCCTCCAGTGCAGATGTAAAGATTGTGCGACGGTATATAGCACTTCCCGGATTAACGTCTCCGGCATCTGGAAGAATGCAAGACTCAGAAGGAATCATCATGTCTGTTGCCCCTCCACATATCGAGACGACAGGCGTCGGGTCATTTACCAAATATTCAGCGTTCCGTCGGTATATTTCATCTATACGGGCGTCAAAGCGTGCGGGCGGAAGTGTGTGTGGAGTAGACATAGTTATTAATGCAGATATGTCGTCAGATGGGAGAAGAGCGGTGCCCACTATGCCGCCCATTGAATGACCCATGACGATGATTCGCGTATTGGGGGGATAATGCGAGAGAATGTAACGTATCGCCGCAGAGGAATATTCTATCTGCGAGTCGAGAGTGGGTCCATGGAACGCCGAAAGGTCTTCGTTAAACTCCACTAAACCAAGGATATACGTCAGTGAGACATGTGGTAGCTTGTGGCTACACCACGTGAAGCGGAATTGGGCCTACCAGCAAAAAAGTCCAGCGGCTGAATTCCACGACCCGTAAAGTCACTAGATATGACAAAAGGAGATGAAAAATATTGCCTTGCAGCAGAAGACGCAATGGACCGGACTTGGTGCGACGAGCCAGCGTTTCCGGGGATGAACAGAACTGGTACACCCATGACCTTCATCGGTAGTGGGGGTTCGAAGACAATCATTTAGAGCCCTTGAACATGAGTTATCGGATTGCGGCTAATGGAGTGGTCACTAGACACGCACCTGGTTGGGATCCCACCCCACCTCGCGGTATAACCAGAGTGAATACCGGTGTGCCAATGGTGTCCATGAGGAGTTGAATTCGTGTTGGAGGAGGTAAGATGGAGACATCCATGACATCCGACATCCTTGTGGAGAAACTGTTAGACGAACGTCGTTGGCTGCGTGGTAGCAGATATATATAAGAGTTAGCGAGAATAACCCCAGGGTGGCCGTGAATGCGCTGGTCATGCTCGATGGCAGCATAAGTGCATGCCCGGTTTTAAGATATGTTCTTCGAGCTGCTCCTGTCTTTCAGACAGACGAGACTTTGGTAGAAATGACGTCCTTTGTAAAGGGTTGATAGCTAAGTAGTGGGACGCGACGCTGCAACAACTTTATCCCCGACTCTTACGTCGGTCTATTAGTTAGACACCAAACATGCCGAGACCCTGTTCTTTTTCGGGATATTCCGTTCGTGCTTACCCCGTTTTTCGTGCTTATTTCCCGTTTCATGTGCTAGATTCCAACGTTGTTAACCCGTCAATTACATCCCATGATTCCCAATGCCGCCGACTTGCAATTGCGCCATACGAATGCAGTTCGAAGTGGAGTTGAGGTGTCTCCATCTTGCCATTGCTATGTCTCGTTTCGCGAAACAGGGATTTCAAATGGATGCTACCTTGGAATAATTGAGACAGGGATCACCATGTCCGTGATGTGCTACTCAAGTACTGGATGGATCTCCATTTCTACTACAGATACAAAACAATGGTAATAGGTATTGAGGACCATCTTTTAATATATAAATCAATTGTGTCTGAAGTAGCTGTGAATGAATGCAATTATGATAAGAAACAGGGGTGTGAGTGCAACAATTGTGAAAAGAATACGAAATGCAAGTCCAGCAGTGTCGTAACAAAGCCAGAAAGCCGCATCACTAGTGGCAAGGAAGATGGAGGCGAGGATAAGGTTGAATCCTGCGAGTGTGCATAAGTAGCCGTTCCGCTTGAATGTCCATTTTTTGTGTTCCTCCCAGCGCTAAATGGACAGGGTAAGTGTGTTGATTATGTAATGATCAAGCAACCCACCTCATATCACTGCGCGTCCTATCAAGGACTTGGGCCTTCTCAAAGTTCCTGCTCCGTTGACAGTTCCCGGGGGATTGGGGCCTGCACCATCATGAACTGTTCCACTACTATCACCTGTTCTGCTGCTCAATTCTCCTGGGACCATGTTGGTTCGCACAGTGGCATTGCGAGTAGCGTCGCTAGCCGCCGGGTCTTCTGCACGCCTGCCGAGAGTTTCTAGTTCGGTCTGCTCGTTGCCTTCAGATCTGGTATTGCGACGCGAGAGAATGGGCTTTTTCGATGCCATGGTGGTTTGCGAAAGAAAGGTAAGTTGAGAATCTCGGGTTCTTATCCACACTAATTGGCATTCAGGTGTTGGATGCCAATCGCAATTCAGCGTTAACAGGCAATCCGGAGCCCCCAGCGTGCCGAGTATACCCCCAAGTCGGGAGGACGAGTCTGAAATGGCCGGTCTGGGTGCAGGTCTGCGCAGACCTGGAGTCTGCGTCTGTGACAAAGTCTGGGTGTACACTTGGCACGGTTTGCGGAGTTTGAAGTCGCCAGCAGTTGAATACCGCCGTATCACTGCACAACCACCTGCTGCCCGCCGCTTCCCGCCCCTGCCCACACGCTGAGCACGGACCATGGACGCCGGGTCCATCTTTGTAGCCATGCAGTGGCTAAAGTCGACATTCTACAGCCTCAGCATCACACCATATTTGTCGTGGTTGCCCCTGAAGTCCTACCCCCCTCCATAAACACATCCCACAATCAGTATTCCTTTCGATATCGATATCGTGGGCGGCGGGGAGCGGACAGGCGGGCAACGATGAGGTGGTGGGGGTGATGAGCGCATAGGAGTTTCATAATAACTCCGCTTCGATTTGCCGACGGCACCAAGACTTGCCGAGCATGCACCCAGACTTTGTCACAGACGCAGACGTAGAGTCTGCGCAGACCTGCACCCAGACCGGCCGTAACTTACACATTCACCAAGTCGGCCGCCTGGTACCCAAACTTCAGCTGGCAATCTTCGAACATGTTCCTTTCCGAATGCTTCACGACGTCGCCCTCAAATGCCAGTCCTTTCGTTAGCTCACGCAACCTCTCTTATTTCGCTCCTTGACATTCTGTCCCTACTCTCTGGACATTAACAACGAGTGCTTCATTGCCCGTGTCAAAACGGTAGAGCGTACGAAGCGGCGCATACAATGTTGTTCCTCAGTACCCATCGCTCACGCTGGTTGGGAATGCAAATTTTACCCCCGATATATTGTCGGTGCCGTGCTCAACCCGGAGATTGCATACAATATGCTTCTGGATATGCTGCTCGACACTACCGCTTCTCGTCAACCTTCAATCACCATCGTTCATGTTCGTAGACCTCAATCAATCCCAGTTATTGAAACTGTGCGCACCACAAAGCCTTGGGACCCTTTTCTTGGGAAACTGTGGAGTAGAACGTGTCCACCCTTCCAAATTGCAGGTCGCTGACTCGGATTTGATAATCGTCTGCGATAAAAAAAACCTAGCGTGTTTGGGAATGGTCATAAACGAACACGGACTATCTGGTTTCTCACCCGACCACCTCCGTTCCGTTTCCATAGTCAACCCAGTCGCAGGAACCCCGAGGTACGTCCCGAATCGGCGCTTCTCTTTTATCAGACTAGTTTGTGTATTCTAGATGATAATGGACGCCCTTTTGACCCTCCACCCTACCATCCAGCGTTTGCGACTCTCCTCGCATTCAGCTGTGCCGCGCATTGGACTTGCTACAGAAGACCGTCTTGCAAAAGTTTCCCTGGACGAACCGGACATTATTAATCTGATGCGGAATCGAATGTTCGATTGCCGAGCTCCGAGTGTTGATCAATACGCACCCCTTCATTTGATTGTCTTATATATGCATAATCTTATACCACTTGTCGCAAACTCTTGTCTCCAAATTGGATAATGCTTCTCGGTCATTAATATTGCCTTTGGCCATCCCGCCGTTCCTGTACCCATCGACGACCCCCCACAACAGCATGCGTTCTGGCACACTTGCCCTTGTCAACGTCCCACAATCTCACTGTGCCATCCCCACTCCCACCTGCTACTTTCATCCTCATGACGTGAACATCATGTCTTTGACACTGGGACTTTGACAAAGCGATTGAGTAGTTTTAAGAGCGATGTACGAAGATATGGAGGATGGTCGACGAGCTCAAAGAATGGAATTGTGAGTGACGTAGGTGAATAATACGCGAGATCTAGGTAGTACGAGCTCGAGATGATTCAGAACTGTCACGAATAAAATACGCAGATCGATATGTATATCAAGCTTCGGGCACCAAGGGTCCATATATGATATGAGGGTGAATGCACTGATGATAGTCCAATCTACACACAGGCATGATATTAGCGTGAGGGTATACTTTCTCATGGATGATGTAGCTATTTCTAGGATGATCACTAGTCTTCCCAGATGTTTATCATCTCTGATTGATGCGTCATGACAGAGACGTCTTTCTTCACAGTATTCATTCGCGGATACACGAACTAAGATAAAGATCATGTCAGCGAGAAACGTCCTGCCAAAGACCTAATGACAACTCACCCCTTCGTTATACTCATGCATGACCTCAGCTGCAAGAATACCACGGTCTTTCACAAGACCCTCATAAGCCTGTACGAGAAGACTGGTTTGCACGCCCACGGCACCCATCACAGCAGTCATAAGTATCCAATTCGTAGGACCCGTAGACATCCAAATAAGAGCATGGATAGGAGAATACACCGTGAGAAGCACGCGCTCAAGCTCTCCTGGAGTCCAGACCTCAAGCTGTTGAACCTGATCTGCGGGTGCACCTCGGGCAGGTGAAGACGACGAAGGCGTGGCAGTGGAAATACCAAGCAGGAATTTCCAAAAGGAGATGAAACAATTCCATAGGAAAAGTATGACGACTTTTATCACGCGCAGGATGCGCGTTTTGAAGGAGGCGACCGGGGAAGGCTCATCAGAAGAAAGGGGTCGCACACGTGCGGGAGAGGTTACAAACGTGGTATGTGGCGAGGATACGGGGTCTGCCTTGGTTCGACGATGGAGGCGATATGTTTTGCTTTGCGTGAACAGGTGCATTGCATTCAACGTTGAAGCAACCAACAGAACGCCCGTCATCGGAACAGTCTGCGAGAGATATGTAAGGATAGCGTGAGATTCGGTTTCGAGCGTAGCTTACCCAGTCAAACCAGCTTTGTTGACTACGTTCCCAGTACAAGTCTTCCCAGCCGATGTCTGAATCAGCCGTGGCGCGTATCTGCGATACACGCAGACAAAGGTGCAGCAGATGCATGCTAGAGCCTATGAGCCATCCGGTTGTTCTTGGAGCCGGCATGGGTAGGTTGTGAGGAAATAGTGAAATCTCGAACATAATCTGTGAAGGCAACGCTGTGATTCTGTGCAAATCGATAACTTGTTAATAAACTATGTATAAAGTTTAAATGTTCGAAACAATCACTGACCTCTCAAACACGCCTTTCTTTTTCACAACCTTCTTTGGCAGTGGCCTGAGCCCGTCCGGGATGGTGCTCATGCGAGATTTACGCTTTGCGCTAAGAGGCGAAGCATAGGGGGGTGGTCTCCTTGAACGTGCAGCATCCCAGTCGAATGGCGTAGAGGAAGATATGGAAGGGGTCGCAGATGGAGAATAAACATACGACACGCGTGTGCGAGGCGTGACTGGAGTCTGAGTTCCACCGTTCAGCCTGGGCGACGGAGAGTGTGGTGACCCTGGGGTATTTGCTGCATTGTTAGCCTGGGCAAATCGGCGCAGGCTCATCCTCGATTTTGGTTAAAGTACGAGTAAAAAGAAATCTGAGAACTGAAACTGCATGCTTTCAAGGAGGCGCGTCACACGTAACGCGTAGGTCACGCGACACGAAATTAATTTGTAGGTTAGCTAAGTCTAACGTCTAACTTAATCCAAGATCCAAGTACATGAATTACTCGTCTATAGTTCCACGATCAGACCAGGAAGACGGCACGATCAGTACGAGAGAATGAACGACTATGCTCAGCTGAAGATGCCTAACTTATCGCCATCTATAGCGATGAGCTAAACTAGGACACGCTGTCCGAGTGGGAAGGCAAATTGGCAATGTTCTTTCCACTTGCAGGCCTACCTCCATGATTTCAGGTAGGTTGTAGAAATCGTTGCGGGAGGCGGGGATATCCCACAAGGGCTGATTGGTGTTCGTGAGCTATTCCTGCCTGACAGTAAGAACGGGGAAACGACCGAACAATCAACACCACACGCAATTGGGAAGAAAATTACTTCAAGGGGTAATTGGTGGAACGACACTGTATCGTACGACGGGGAAAATAAGTAAACCTTGGAAAGAAAATTCACCATTGATCAAGAGCAGAACGATAGAAACACAAACCTACTTTCTAGATCCTCAAGGGTCGTCGAATCATGTACAAACGCCTCTAATATGCTGCAAGTATAAGAATTGGATGTAGCCGTGCTCCTGAGATCATTAGGCAAGCCAGGATTGTACCACTGCCTCGACTTCCCATACAGTTGTCTTCACGTCGGCCACATCGTCCATCCACAGTTTAAACCAAACGCTAGCACAGCAGGCTCCAAAGGCGGTTCCTGCCGCAACCTGCGGCCATGTGTGATGGCGCAACCAGACCCTTGAGACAACTATGAAGAATGTCCATGGTAAGACGACTACTGGAGCGAGGGCGGCGAAAGTGGGAAAGGTAGGATGGAGAGGTAACTGGAGGCAAGCGATAGTAATATATGTAGCGAAGAAGGTGCATGTGGATGCATGTGAACTAGGCATCCTGCAGGAGCGTGTTGAGAATGCAATTAGACTGTATGCGGTGTCAGTGGATCGTACCCATAGGTTACATTGCGTGCGGAGTGCTGTGATGGGCGCTCCTGGCGTATTGCGATCTTGATGGTCTTGGCAAGCCCTGAACACAAGACGGCACCAGTGACAAAGTATGCGACACCTGCAGAGCGGGTATAGAGAAGAACCGCAGCAGTCAACGAGGTGACGACTGTAGATGTCTGGAGAAAATGAGTACTTGGTCTCGGTTGGAACAGCAGAGGCATACTTGATCAAGAAATTTGAGCCATAGCGGTAGCCCTGCACCTGCACTCATAGCCAAGATAGAAGATGAGGGAGGGTGTTTAGAACATGACACACTTATAGGGTATTGGCCGTAGGAGCCAGGCTAGTTCTGTTAAATGCATCTCGCTAGGCTAGTTCACATGAGGCAAGATCTGGACGTGACGGTCGGCAAAGTTATAGGATTCCAAGTGCGCGTCAATACAAATATATTAAATTGTTATAGTACTGAATCCATGATCTGTTTGCTATTGGCCATAAGCAGTCAAAAGACAGCTCAGTAGCACAAATGACAAAGAGACAAAGAACTCTTTTAAAAGAGATCCCCCGACGACACAAGCCGATAGTGCAGAGGCAAGGTCATCACACCCCTCGAGTTGCAAGCAGAGCTCGAAGAGACAAGGGCGGCAAAAATTTGATAACCAAAGAATGAGGGCGGTGCCCTCATAATAGTGGTTAAACTATTAAGAACAGATACTACACTTGATCTAAGCCAAAAGGCCAGAGTGGTAAGGTTTCGAGTTGTCTGGAGCGTCCTTTTATACAAAACTATCAGCGCACGGACCCGCACGCAGACAACGATTCAACAATACCAAATAAACACCTATACCAAAGACTCGATACGCCACGCTGTCGGCCGCAATCACACGACCAGAGCACAATCCACGCCTTCCAATGATAAGAAAACCACCATCTTGGCATACCGACACGCCAAGTAGACTAAGCAAATTTGTATGCTACGTGCCCAGTAGGAAGTTCGTGAAACCGTCTGTCTACACAGGAAAAAGAATTCAAACAGTTCAAAAATTATCGATAACAATACATCTGGTTGAAAAAACTTCGTGGTCCCTTCATGGTGCTCCATCCTCACCAACGTCTCGTGTGATAAGAAGGTCAAGCTCCGAGAACCAGATCCATGAACAATGCCTTCCCATCACCTCGCGAAGGGATATGGCAAAAAGCCTCCGGCGGAGCGCGCACTCTCTGAAAGATTGTCGCCTAGCAGCGCGACGCCGTTCCTTGTCCTCCTATTTGGCACCAGCACCCGTCACGCCCACCACAAGCCCCTTCAACCACCCATTCTCCCTCCGCAGCCCCTCGCACTCGCGTTCCAGCTCAGTAACACGCTCCTCAAGCTCCTTTGCCCGTCGCTCAAGTGCAGCTTCCCGCTCCTTCTTCTTCAACCTGAATCGCGCACTAGCCGCGGTATTCCGACGACGCTTGTCTTCCGCAGCGGATAGAGGATTGGTGGAATCACCTGGCGTGTCTTCGGCAGTGGGCGACGACGGGGACGAAGGGTCGAATGCCTCTGTAGGCGTAGAGTTTTTGGACGTGCGAGCTCGCTTATTAGCAGATTGGGAAGCAGGCTGGGCATGCACGACAGGGGGAGGGGGAGGCACTGCATAAGTCCCTCCTTGAGCAGTATGCAAAGCAAGGAGTTGCGCGAGTGAAGGCGCAGCCGGCACATTCTCCGCGGGCGCAGGCACTGATTGCGGGAGTGAGAATGGGTCGATGCCAAATCCAGCTAATAGCGCGTTCAGATCAAACTGTTGCGCATGCGCATCGGAATGGGGGATGATGGTCGTGCTCGGAGGGTGCACTACGTTTTCATGGCTGTCGTGCGTGGGGAGACCTAGAGGAGAACCGGCGTCTTCTTCTGAGTCGTCGACTGCCTTTCTCTTTCCCTTGTTGTGAGCAATAGGCTCATCGGTTTCGAATGCAAGGTTTGTCCACAAGTCAAGGTGGGCTGAGAAGTCAGGGAAAGGCGGGGATGCTAACGAGTCGTCGTTGTGTGGTGTAGCAGAAGCTGAATGAACGAGATTGAGTCCTTGCAAGTTTAACGGAGGCATGAGTCGAGATGGCGTGAGCTATCTATGGTTTGATTATGGCGATGCGTGTGCGTTGGAGATGGCGACGACGGACGGGATGCAGTGAAAAAAAGAATAACCAGAACTGATAAGATTTCTGGTACTTATTGCGTGCTCACTAAGCGTTTCAGAGGTACTGACTAATATTTTACGATAAGCGACATATGCTCCTGACATGGCAGCTGACAGCACAATGCTCGTGATACATCCAGGAACAATCACAATTTTCGCAACAGCGGCGCCGATTCCCGAAGAACCAATCTCCTTGGTCCGATCGTCTTCGGCGTTTCAGTCCCTGGCGATCAACCATATTCCGGCTGTCCGAGACTCCTTCAAGGTGTCAGGTCGTCCACGACCTTGAGCTCAATTGTGTATACGATCCACCACGCAGCGCCAGTGAAACCAGAGTCCTCGCTGTGGTAGTAATGAGTTACTGTACTGCCGAAATGAAATTTAATATGATTGCTCGAGCCTTGTCGAGGGCCCTTCTTTCCCCATGCAACATTTCGCGACTGGCCCAACACTATGGAGTAATAGTGCGCGACTATGGCGCCAAATCCCATTCGCAGCGAAGACTGAATACGAGAATCATGTCGACCCAAAAGTCACGTACACCCTTTGAGAACCTGAGCACTATAAGCCAGCACTCCTTTTAAAGGGGCGGGCCGTGATCAGAAATCGGGTTTCCGAGGACATTTGATTTCTGAAAGATCAGCTCATGCTGTGGACACAAAAACCACGTAGTGATGAAGCAAGCTATACAATTCCATTGAATAATACATACTTCAATATAACAGTACATCACCGGTCGCTAAGCCCCATTGATCATGCATTCTCATAGAATTTCATAAGATCCTGCACATCATCCCGGCTCCCAAGGAACACAGAGCATCGCTCATGTATGTCCGTTGGAACAATATCAAGAATACGCTTAGTGCCCGTAGTTGCGACTCCACCGGCCTAGTGTGTCATGATAAGTAATGGAGTCATCCAGAGTTTTACCCCCCTAAAACACTTACCTGCTCGGTCAAAAAGGCCATAGGGAATGCCTCGTATAGTAACCGCAACTTCCCAGACTTGCTCTTCTTATCGTCAGGGTAGCCGAAGATCCCTCCATATAGCAATGTCCTATGCACATCCGCAACCATCGACCCGATGTACCGCGCAGAGTATGGAGAACCCGTCTTCGGGTACTTGATGGAGTTTAGGTAGTTGGTCACGGGAGGATGGAAATACATCGAGTTGCCTTCGTTGAAGGAGTAGATTTTGCCACGAGGAGGTATTTTTATCTGGGGAAAAGATTAGGAACATTATATTATGGGCGCGAGATAGGAGGTGATGTGTCGTACGTCAGGGTGGGTGAGGATGAATTCTCCTAGTGCGGCGTCCAGGGTGTAGCCGTTTACACCGGACCCCGTGGAGAGAACCAGGTTCGCGGAAGAACCATACCTAGGTGGATGTGAGTACGTTTGTAATGCAGTCATATGGACGACTCACATGGTGTATCCTGCAGCGACCATCTCATTCCCTGGTCTGAGCACATCCTCTATAGTCCCACTAGAGTCTGGTCTCTGCAAAAGCCGATGAGGCCAACAATAAGATCAATTCAAGAAAGACGCACCACAGCGTAAATACCAAAGATGGTACCGATGTTAACACCAGCATCGATGTTGCTACTACCATCAAGGGGGTCAAACACAACACAGTACTTTCCCTTGTTTCGGTCCTCAATGATGATAGCATTGTCAAGCTCTTCCGAGACCAAGACCGCGGTCTTTCCAGACGCCCGCAGGGCGTTAACCATGATGTCATTGGATAGAACATCGAGCTTTTTCTGCTCCTCGCCTTGGACGTTGGTCTCGCCAGCAAGGCCGACACTGATCATCATATCAGGGGTGTTCCAAATAAAAGCATGCGAGACGTACAGGTTGATGAGCCGGGCTTTCCGCACATTTGTAGCTATGAACTTGCTAGTCACTTGGATAGCGATGAGCAAGAGGGTGAGATCTCCCGTAGCGGCTGCTCCCAGTCGCAGCTGGTCGTGAAGCACATGTCTACGAGATGCGTCAATGGCGCGCTCTACCCGCGGAACATATCCGCGCTCACCTGCTCAAGGTGATCAGATCCGTGCTAGGGGGTTGTTCTGAGACTGATTCCATTGCAGTTCTGGGGAATGTTCTAAGGTGTTGTGAAGAGCGGGCAAGGAAACATGGAAATGTTTCACAATACTTAAGCGTTATATTTCCCCTTGTGTTGTGCGGATGGAAACGGGCTCCTCCAATAAGCGCTTTGATGATGGATCCGCTTCCCAGTGGACCTTGGTTATGATTCAGCAGATTGTTCTCACAGTACTCTCTGAGTCCGGTACGGCTCGGAAGACTCACTCCCCGAACGTGAATTCCCTGTGATCATACAGCAGATACGTAAAATGAGAATATCAATACATACACGAGCCGGCCGACAGGAGCTTGATCATCGTTTCCTCTTGATTCCTACTAGTGAAACCGGTTCCTTACCCTTGCGTGTCCGTAGTGGGATAGGAAAAGTGTCGCTGTCCTCATCGTTGTCTTCCACGCCTGCAATACCCTTCCCACCACTGTCACCATTACCACTGCCTCTGATTCCGCTCGTATTGGGCACTATGCTCTCAGGTCTCCCAATCTCATGCCCAGAGCACCATCCATCATCATCGTCAACACCCTCTTCTTCCTCCATCTCATCTTCGTCCTCGTCCAGCGCTCGCGAAGATGCCTGGGCAATTGCAGCGGCAATCTCCGCACTGATACTCGCAACTCTCGCTTCAAGTGGCTCACCCGGCACACTAGCCTCCAATGGCCTGATTGTAACGCCCCCAGTCTGAGAGAATAATGCGGAGATAGTTCGCACTGATTCTTCCAGCTCGAGATCCTCCGTTGTTTCAGAAACCTTTTGTTTTTTGGCTTTGAAATTGTATTTTCTGCATGATCCAATCAGTATCTGTGAATACAACCATTAAGCTTGGACACCCACATGTTGGGATCTGGTTCCCATGTTGGATCGTGAGTTCGCATATGCTGGGTGAGCGTCGTGCGACGTGTAAACGTTTTCTCGCACTCTGGATCTTCACACTTGTAGGGTCGTTTTCCTGTGTGCGTTCGCCGGTGCCGTGCGAGACTACTCGAGTCTCCAAAGGTCTTTCCACACCCCGGGTATTCGCAAGAATGCGGTTTCTCGCCTGTGTGCACCCGTTGATGAACGTGTAATGCAGATCGCTAGGTGTCCAAAAAGTTGTAAGATACTGCGTGTAATCTGATAAATAATACAAACCTGAATGAACGTCTTTCCACATCCGCCATGGTTACAGACAAACGGCCGTTCGCCGGTGTGGATCCGCATGTGTCTCGCGAGATCGCTCCTCCGAGTGAATGTTTTGCGACACAGCGGCTCTTCACACGAGTGTATGTGTACTGTCTTCTCCTTTTCACCATTTTGTTCTTTATCTTTATCTTTGTCTTTATCCTTCCCCTTCTTTGACTTCTTGCTTTCGGGAGACTTCTTTGGCGCTGTTGATGTAGAGGCAATTGGTTGTGGCGTGGGGCGTGATGGACTGGGTAGGGGCTGGCTAGAACGCACGGGTGATTGGGCAGGGGTGGTGCGGGAACGAGATATGGGCGAAGTACTTTCGGTCGATGGTGCCTGAAGATGTCCGTGAGTCGGGTCTGTTTCTGTTTCTGTATCAAAGTGTGTCGAGAGATGATTCAATATGTCGCTGATGTCATTGAACTCCCCAGGAACGCCTTCGTGGGCGTCTGATCCGTCCGTCCGAGGTTTGTGTTGTGGTGAACATCCAGCGTCACTCCCGTTTCGGTCGTCATCATGTACGTCACCCCTTATATCCTCTGTGGGGTAAAGGAGGTCCAAGTCCCGAGGACCACGTTCTCGAGCGCCATCCACAATATAGTCATCATCATCGCCAGCCGTTAGAGAATGAAAGGCAGGGGCAGTGCGCGTCGTACGCAGACTATGCTCAAGCTCCGCGTCGTGGCTTTTCAAAGATTCAGCATGGCGCCCATTTGAAGAAGCCTGTGCGTGAGCTGCTTGCAACATGGCAGTGATACTACGAAGATTAAGACCAAGACCAGAGATAGCGTCACCCGCAATTGCAATATCGCTGACTTTCTGTGTGCCATCTGGAGCGGAGTCCGGAATGGAGGGATCGTGGTCTTGCTCATTTTGCGCTTGGCGCTGTTGGGCGGCAGCACTCAGGAGTGCAGCCGATGCGGCTGTCGCATTCTGGTGGAGAAGACTGGCGATTTCGCGCTCGAGCATTTCCACTGAGAAGTGCTCCGGAGGTGCTGACGGGTCAAGGGAAAGGGGCACGCCGTCGTGTGGCGAATGGGCAAGGTGTGATGAATCAGAGAATGCGGAAGAGGCGTGTTGGGGGCCGGTCACGTCGACCTCATCTCCACTATGGATCTGTTCCTCGTCTGAGCCCAAAGGTTCATCATGTACGACATCTGAGAGGTCGAGCACCGGTTCGTTTTCATCATGGTCCATGATAGAAGTTGTGAAGTGCCTCCGGCTTGGGAGTGCGGACCTGATGCGAAACAAGTCGAAATGTGATTCCTGTCGAGAACATTGAAACTAGACATATAGATCTGACAATTCCATTACTCACTGAAGACTGTACACGTCGCGCTAGCCGATGAGTACAGTATGGATGGTCGAGGTTAACGTTGAAGCTTTGAAGTCCAATAACGGACGGTGCTTGAACACGATGTTACGACGCTTGTTTAGGTAACGGCATCATTCACGTGTCGTTTCCTCTTTTGGGGGTTCACTTTGGGAGGCCGCCAGCAACACCAAGCGCCAAGCCTGTGTCCCACTCTTCTTCCCTTTCATGAACGTCGGTCACGGCAAGCATCATGCCTGCAAAGACTAATAAACCGGCGAGACCAAAGGTCAAGCGCTACCATGTGTACGCTGTCATACTCTTTATTATGGGGACGCTCTTCCCCCCACTGGGTATGTATGTTTGTAATCTCGTCGTGAGGAATGCCATTGTAGAGTTGAGTGCTGACCTATTTGAATTCAGCTGTAGCATCAAGGTTCGGTATTGGGAAAGACTTCTGGCTGAATCTTTTACTCACGATCTGCGGATACATTCCAGGTATGCGCCGTGATTGTGATAGTCCGATGACATTTAAGTAACCTCCTTGTCCTAGGACACGCGCACAACTTTTACATACAGGTAATAGGATTGCTAGCCGCATGGTCTTGCGGATTAAAGTGCTGACGTGTTCTGAATCCGCAGAATATTAGGAATAACAAGAATCACCGTCGTACACCCAAATGGGTCCAACGCTATGGCCTTGTCGACACTTCAACCATCAAGCGTCATGAACAGCGTTCCCAGTGGGCAGGGAGATACAACGACCGCAGTGCACACTCTGCCCTTGATGATCAGCAACTGGAGGAAGGCCAAGTAGCGCCGAGCCGCTCAACAACACAGGATCCCTCCATCAAGCCCAACAATGGCAGTGCTCTCTGGAAGCCTGACGACGAATCATTCTACAACCCTGAACGAGAAGGTAGCCTGCGTTCAGCCGAATCAGGCAGTTCTCGCTGGCATTACCCTGCCAACTTCAATGACACAGTTCCTGATGCGCCAGGTGCAGGAGATGCTACAGGGCGGAAGAAGAAGAAGAAGAAGAAAGATAGGTGGGCGAGAACGGAGGATGCATATACTGCGCCCGAGAATAAAAAACGAAAGAAGAAGTCGAAGAATCGCTCTACAGCTGGCGATGGTGGCGATCTAGAGTCAACCTACTCGCACAGAGCAGAATCAAGTGTTGATTTGGAGGCGCCAGAAGATGCAGCCGGTGGAACATACGGGTCTGGGAGACAAGGCAACGGACAGGCGGCGGTGGAGAATGACCATGCTGCCGCACCGCAGGGCGAGAGCGATGTGTTCAACCACGAGTTCTGACACACATCCTCTGTATATCCTAACTCAATTCTTCATGTTAGCTTCTATCTATCTATCGCATGCAGCGTCTTTTAAATATCGATACACTTCCGAAGTAGAGTCACGCAGACCTGTATTTTTCCCTCATATTTTATACGTACAAATCCCCATGCAAGTGCTTCCCTTTGTAGATATCTCAATGCCTGTACATCAAATAGTCAAAGATACGGTTAGGCAGTAGCCAGGGAACGAATATTAATATTAATCTAATACTAAGACCAGCGCGCGCTCGGTTGGGACCCATCGATGTACCTGCAATGGGTCGAATTTCGGCCTGGGTCAAGTATTGTTCATTCGGTGGCAAGAGGGGGAAAGAAGGGATGGCTATAAGGGCTATAGAACTCTAACTACTACAGTAGACTAACCTAAGACTAGTAGAGGCTACGTAGGGCTACGTACCCCTTCTAGAATCTATATATACTGCGGTCCACCTAATAATAGATGTACAGTTCGCCCTAAATTTAGATGAATAGAGGAAAGAGGAATCACACAGAGAACAGCAAAAACAGCTGATTGATAGTAGCTACAGCTTGAAAACATGTGTCTAAAACTACAATGAATCTACGAAGAAAACTTGTTGAGTCGTGGTATCACAATGCCATGATCTGATCGAAGGATGTCGAAAGCTGTCGGCGACAGGCTGCCTCGCGGTGTTTGGTGCTAGAATCGGCGACGGTAACAGCATGGGGTATTCGGGTTTGATAAGGTGACTCAAGAGGGATATTTGTAGGTGGGAGTGGCGCGTGCATCGCATGTCTTGAGTATATCTAAATAATGTCAGATATACACGGTGATTGTGCGGGAAGAGAGCCGTGGAGCTCAGGCTTGTAGTAGAGGCCGCCGCATCGCAAGGTATCAATATACGAAAGAAACGGGGAATGATAACTTACGCCGGTAAGCACCGTGTGTTAAACAAGGGTCTATCCCAACCACAGTAAAACCTGCTTGCCCTGTAGGCTAGGGAGATTTAGCCAAGCCCGCCGAAAGATAAGGTCATTGGCAAGATGGGTAATGTTCTTGATGTGAATGTGCGAGCTTGGGCACACTGGGATGGGTGTGATTTATCACGGACCAAATAGTATTGCAAGGCAAGGCCAGAAAGGTGATTGCCACACACTTGATACGTTAATTGACTCTTGCTCACCGAGGAGTTTCGGGAGCGCTGATGCGCGCCATGCCGTCATTGAACTTTAGAAGGGGTATGGGAGGTTGTAGGCTAAAAGCAGATGCGGCGATGGACATTCAAACCGTTCACGGGGACAAGTTGCATTTGGGGAGTGGTATAGAAAGGTTAATGAATACAAGCATACACGACGTTTGGAAGGGAGTTTGCCAGCTCGGGCCAGCGGGAAAGGCTGCAGTTAGCTAGAGGGCCATGAGCAGTGAGTACCGAGGGCCCGAAGAGACGAGGGAGGCTTCGCTCCGGCTTTTCGCAGCCTATACGTAGTGGACCGGCCGTCGCACCATCGATTAGAGAAACGAGACTCAGATCACACTCGCCGCCATCGGCGTTGCCAATTCCAAGGATCGAGATTGGCAGTCTGATGTGGCAGTTCGTGGCCAATCTGGTGGATGAACCGAGACGGGGGTCGGTTATTATACCGAGGAAAAAAATAGCGCTGAAGATATCATGTCGTCGGTTGCTGCCAACGTTGAGCGGGTTCACTAGCAGGAGGCAGTACGTTCTGTGTTTATGAACTCCGTGATTACGTGATGTTGACCACTTTTTTTAAGCCTCATCTATCTGTTCGAGCAGCCTTCGACTCTCTCTCTTATTTAAACTTCCAGTATTTGTCCTCCGAGCATGGAGCTTTGGGACCCCGTGTGCTCTCAACTTTGAGAAACCGGGTCAATTAGCATAGATTGGTGCAGACAAGCAAAACATCCCACGGATATAATAAAGTCGGTAACGCCGATCCCTGCTATATATATAGACTATTTGATGTGCTGTTAGGCAACTTGCGCATCACAATAATACGGGCACGTTGGACCCTTGCGGACTTTGAGGGGACATCAACTTTCAGCCAGTGCACGGCCCCAACTCGGAGCGCTATAATAATGTCCGGAACCGACTAGCCATGACCGTCTGACATATGCTAGACCCATTTCGTACGAAGAAGAGTTTCGCCGCGATCAGGAAACTCACTATCAGTTTCCGAGGTCCTTTCATTTAACATCAGGCCTCATGCATCATGGCCCGAGGCTGCGCGAGGTGGAGGTTGGGTGCGGTAGGCGTCGTTGGGAAACTGCAGGAGGCTGCGATATGGTGTAGTCGCCAGACAGGTCCCATGCTTGGACGAGGTTGGGCAGGGGTCAGCCTATCGGAGATATGTGAGACAGAAAGGTTGCTTTCCGCAACCGTCCTGGTCGGGCATGGTGCCTGCCCGCCGGTAGGGTAACGTGCTCAGGCTTTACCATTGCCGAAGCGGTGCAGGAGGTCTTGACCTCTGCTGTAAGGCAGTGTGGTAAGGAGTTTTTAGATCTGGGAGCCGAAGTTCTTCGGAAAGATAAAAGGTCATCCACAAGGGTATGACTCCATTGTACGCCCACTTGTCGGGCCTGTGGACTCGGATAACCCATCTTCAACAAACATGGCCATACCTACAACTTCAACCTTCCTTAGCGCTGTGATCCTGCAGCCTATCATCGTGGCGGTGACCAGTCTTTTGCTGTCATCCCTCATGTCCTACGAGATCGCAGAACAGCTGGACTGGAGGCCGGTAAGCCCTTTGTTTGTGGATTTCAGGCTTTACAGTCTTCTAATTACATGGTTTAAAAGATCACCGTATGCGTGACATGCGACATTCTTGCAGTCGGTGTTGACCACCTGAAAGATCAAGAAATTGTAATCGGTGCTTGGGGTGCGGCTGTCACAAAGCGCTTTGCCCCTCTGTTCCACCTTGCCCGTGCCTTTCTGGCATTGAATGCGTCACTACTCGTGATCGCTTTATGTCGATGTCCACCAAAAATGACGCTCGTCACTGCAGTTTTTACTGTCCCTGCTTTTCTATGGGCAACGCCGCTTGATTTTTGGCGGATTGGCGCAGCACTCAAGGGGATATTACGTACGAATCATGATGAAGAATTGGAATATGATCCACCGAAATCTAGCGAACCATTCATCATCAAACGAGTTCCTGGGATGAAGGCCATATTCGACGGCATCATCAGGGGGTATGTGCTCTGTCGCATCTTCGCCGTTTGTCATTTTTGACTTCAAAATAGTTGTGGGACAGCCTTCGTCGTCCACTCAGCACTGCAGTCGTCGTGGAAGTCGGATCAGATCGCGCCTCCATGGACGGTCATTGAGACTATCGTTTGGTCGACGGTCAATCGTACTTGTCATTGTGTAAGGCAACTTTCTTCCTGTGATTGAACTCCCAACTCAAGGTACTCCAAAGATTATGACAGATGTGCGTGACTATGACGAGGACGAGAAGGCTGGAGTCCCGACCATACCCGTCCTTCTAGAGTCTCCCCTTAAGACTCGGATAGTCTTGACTGTCGTTCAAGCATCCGTTATGATGGCCTTCCTCCATAATCCATTTATTGTAGGGAGTTCCTGCTTTGCCATAGCTCTCGTTTGGATACTAGGGAAAGATTCGCCGAAGGCGTATTTCCGTCTCAGCCTTCATTCACAGTCGATGTTCATTGCTCTGTATGCTGTTATGTTCTACTTAGAATTGCTTTAGATCATTATTGTACTACATTTTAGGGTTAAAAGATTCTTTAGAAAGTGTAGCCTTTCACTCACGTTCATTGGGCGCTGTCATGTATTCTCTAGACCACTGCAATGTTGTAATCTCAGAGTCCGAAAGCGTATTTTCGCCTCAGCCTCGACTTAGATCCATTGTTATGTACGCTATATGTCACCCACCGTACGTTAGTGACGACATGTAGTATGATATAAGTGTGATACTTACTTAGAAGGATCCCGATAGCTCCTAATCCTCCAGAGCTTGGATGCAGTTACTGCAATGACCTATAAAAAATACGCTCAGTATGTTGTGCACACCAGGTGAAGGCTGCTTTTAAGTCTTGCAAGGTGGTTCAAACTGGAGTCGGGGACTGGCACGGCCGAGCGCCGTTACGATCATTGTTATGTACGATTTTACAATGGCTGTTCTCTCTAGACCACTCGTGTTGTTGTGCTCATTGTTTCATCCCTTCAACACGTAATAGGGGATTTTCGACCTAACCCCGGACTGCCGTTTTTATCTCCAGTTATCTCCGCACGTCGCCGAGCGGATTACCGAACACACGTTAACCCTACGTTAACCTAGTTGCCTTCCAGTCTGTAATCCGATTCCAGGTATCCTTTTGTCTCTCCGCTTCTCTTCTTTCCCTTTCATGATGTGCGAATTTATGTGCGGCCCACGACCAGGGTCCTTATTATTGGCGCTAAACCAGCGTGATTGGCTTGCGTGTCAGGCCACGGTCGGCTTCGCTGAACACACTGCTCAGCAAGGCTGACCGTGGCTCAACACGACGTTGTTCAGGAAGTCAATATTGATGTTTAGGATGTGAAAAGAAGAAATGAACATTTGTGATACTACTGGTGTTTTCTTTCTTCTCTTTTCCTCTCCCAGTGTACACTTTTATTGTTTTTATGTTTTCGTCATCTTGCCAACGTGTTTTCAACTTCACGATATGGCACTCAAGCTGATCGTAACGAACACCGACAACCCCTGGTCCAGTGTAAGCCCGGAGACCACTTACACACACTTTCCTCTGTGTTCGGAGTGCACTTGCGTCAGTCCTGTCTTTGACGGCCGTAGCAAACTTCTGCGAGACATGACAGCTGGGTATTTTTCTAGCCACGTCCCTTGTTTATCAGGCTCCAACATACCACTGATGATATATTGATAGTTAAATCGCAGGGATTGAATATTGAATATTGACCCACTTGACATATTATCCTTTCTTGCAGTTTGTTTCGTACAGAACTTCGTCGTGCGCTGTGAGCAAAATTATTTTGACCGCTGGCCGAGTCTATCACAGGCCAGGATAACGCTCGATAACTCGCATTTTTGCCAGCTCGTGCTACCAGATCCGCGATCTGCCATTTGCATGATTCATTATGGACCCCCCTCTCGTTGGCATTGTAGCTTGAAACGATGACGCCGAGGCAAGTACCTCATCTCGTGCATCGCGGACATCACGCTCACGACAGTTCAGATTTCCTCAACAAGCTTAGTGCGCTTGATTGGTGCTACGTTTAGGGTTGATTTAATCGTCAATCATACTTCATTCCAGTCTGAATATATGGGGTATGACAGTTATTATGCGACGGCAAGTGTTGAGGCTAAATCTTGAAACTCAATCTGCTTCCGACGACTCACTTCAGGGCGCCAGCCCCTGAACTTTCCACTTGACTGGCGGAACGTGTCCCGAACAACGCTGTAATACTGATTCGGAGTTCAATGGCTCGGGTCAGCTTGCGGATCTGGATGCATCACGAATGAGATCTTGCCCAGGGATATCGCTAGAAGACATGATCTTGATCAGTGGAGTCCGGGTTTTCTGGATCACGGTAGATCTGCGCCCAGACTCCTCGGAAACCACAATTTCATTTCGCTGGTGCAGAATCTCCGAATGCAGACTCGACTCGCCTGCCAAATTTAAAGCAATCAGTTAGTATTAATAGCATTGTCTTATGGTTCAAGATTGCGCTTAAACAGACTTATCTCAGTAGGAAAAGGTTTTACGTTTTGCCTTTTGACAACCGGACGGAACGAGACGCTTACGCTGTTTCCAAAATAATAATCCCAGTCTATCATGAAGCACAGCAACTAACACAGCAACTAACACTCATCAAATTTACATCCATCACATAGGCTTCCCTCAACAACTATACAGGAACCTCCAGCACCTATGACATTGTTAACAAGGCTTTGACCTGCAACAGCCAACTGCTTTTTCTCGCTTTCAACGGCGGAGACAAACCGGAAACCGCGATCGAGTGCACGACCATTATACCTATCCCCTTGAGCATATGTGCTCTAATAGTGCATTTTGTTGGAAGTGCATCATGGCCGACACCCATAACTGGAAGACCCAGAACACTGGCGACACTAGCGCCACTACCTTCAACTGGCTCGGTGTTCGGGTCACTTGACTTCAGAGAGAAATGTGTGGATGAGTAATACATTTCAGCCCTCTTAAGTGGCCTTGCGCCCTTTGAAAGTTATGTCAGGACCACCCAACTTAAAATTCAATAGACACGCGAGTTACGGTTATTATTTCTTTCCGTGAACAAGATGCTAACCAATTCGTATTGTATCCAAGATAATGGAGGCTGGCATCTCCGTTACCGTGACAAGCTTTGGGGGAATACATGTTCGTCTTCTACGTTCAAAATAAATCGATCGTCCGAGGTATCAACTGGAAGCCAGTTATGACTGTAGTAGAAATCCGCCGTCTCGGAGGTTGGTTTCAGCCTCTCCACTCTCCTTGTCCTTCCCCTTGTCCTTCTCCGGGCCCGACCCGTCGTCTAGGTATAGATAATTCTGCTTTATATAATCAATAACAGCAGCTGGGATGAGGTACCGAACTGAGAGACCCCGACGAAAGAACAACCGAACTTTCGTTGAGGAAACATCGTTCTGGACCAGCTGGGGGATTGGATAGATGTTGTTTCGCCAGCGTGCCAAGCTGTCCGTCGCTTGGTCCATACTGGACCCTGTGCGCTCAATAACAAACGTGCCATAGCGCCCAAGTATACGTTCGAGCTAAGAATGGACTCATTAGCTCGGAGGACATGCGCAACGCAAATGACTGACATCATGATGGGACCAGACACCTGGTTCAGACATGGTGCAGATCAGGTCCGAGCCGGCAAGAAGCATGATCCGAACATCACGATGTTCACCATCTCGGGTAGATACCCCGCCGAGAACCGTGTTGATCTCGTAATCAAAGTGGTCGAGGACGACAGCCGTGCGTTGATAATTCTGGAATGCCTCCCACGAGTCTACCATTAACCCAGAAGACTCCTGCTCTGTAGCGAGCGTGCACGTATTAACCCTATTTCACGTATCAATATGCATTCGAAGATAAGATTGGGCAGCGCAAAGGCCGCACTTACCGGTGATGGGCGCGAGCCAGTCCTGGCTTCTTGTACTCCTCACTAACCGGACTGAGATATCCACCAACGATCTCAAAATTTGTGTTCTGCCGAACGAAGTCATTTGCCATCTCGAACATGCGGAGATGGTGATATGTGATGGGGTTGAAGGAGCCACATGCTACAAGGACGATCGGTTGCTTGTCGGAGGCATGGAGAACTCGATTGAGACGATGAGAGGTAAAAGTATAGTTTGGAGGATTTACGAAGGTGGAGCTGCTTTGGGCGGCCATAGTGGTTGTGAAATGAGGAGGTTTGGGCTTGGTTTAGGCCGCCATTTAAATCAATACATTCGCTCAGTCACCGAAATAACTTTGCTGCGTAGCAAAAGACACTATGGATTGCCCTTTCTGGAAGTCACTACTCACGCGTAACCTAGTCATCCCGTCATGCTGTTCCGTCCCGAGTACTCAGTGCGCGTGCATCGCAAACTAGCGCGACTCTAACGCGACTATGTTAATCGGTAGGTAAATTAATCGGTTACGCCGCCTCCCGCCCAACCCTTATTTAGTATACAGCTTGGAACCCTACTCGGTAAGTAATCGGGTCGGTGCCATCATAGGTCTGAACTTCCGCACACAATCCGTCTTGAATGGTGCAATATTTATCGCTGCTTGCGCGTCAATACGTCATTCACCACCACCTTGCTGCAAGCCTAAGAAGGCTTGCGCCGCCCGCATGCGACAAGCCTAGGCTCGAAGTTGGTACTATATTCACAGATGGTCATTGGCCTACTACTGCAACTCGGAAGGATCCACGATCATCACAAGCCGCGACGAAAGATAGGACATCGCCCATGTCCTGCTTGTACGTCGATCACCGGTAGAAGGTCTCGCGGTGCTGAGCCGAGACGGAAGGAATGACTCGGGTGAGGTGACGGCGCGGCCCAGCAGTGCACACTGGAATCCAGTAATCTGATGTGCGCAGAGTCATCGAACTTCCGTGACGCCCCGTATATATCCACCGCAGGGTTTTATGCGACAATGTTCTCCCACGTATAGGTGAGAGTGATGGGTAGTGTTTCAGAGCGGAACAGTCATCTAGAAGCCTCTGATATGTATGTTGCATGCCCAGAATATATGACACAAGTCGTTGTTCTGTCGAAAGAAGTCATTCGCTATCTTGAGCATTCCGTATGTGATAGGGTTGGAGGAGCCACATGATACAAGGACGATCAGATGTTTGGGAGGCATGGAGAGTTCATAGATATATATATGGAGACAATGGGATCACGGTGGAGGGATCTACAAGTGTAAATCTGGGAGACGCACCCCGCGATTTATATACGGAAGTTACTACTCACGCCTCAACTCCTGGTCCGAATTTCCTGTTCCGTTACACCCCAGCAGCCAGCCTGAGGGCGCGACCCCGTGGTTAGACGATCATGATTGCAACGCACGGCTTCGAGTAACGTCAACGCTGTGGGCTCAGCTTCCGACTCACTCAACGTTTATTGTAGGTAATCCACGTGGTGCCGTCATATAACGCGTGATCATCACGGTCATCTTTTTCCTGTAGACTGAGAAGATGATCCTGCGAATATAATATACAATGTTGCTGGGTAGCAACATCTCAGTCCCCCACGTGTGCACGGAGTGTGTCCGCTTCCCACTGCTGACGCTATAGGTGCAATCGATGTTGTCGAAGGTTAAAGCATTCGCACCACTGGCAGGTGTATTGCTTGCCACGCTCTCCAGTGCCCAGGTCCTAGTCGATTTCCAAGTCGCTGAGCCGCCTCCGGTTCCAAACGGTGGGCAAAAATGCACGACGATGATTCTTGAGTGAGTGATTCGTTTCGAGGCGTTTACGAACTCTAAAGCTATTACTTCCTAGGCGTACATTTGCTAATTCATACGGAGAGTCAGTTAGTCTATGACTGGTGAAAGTTCCAAAGTTGAGCTGACTTTCCACTCCAGTCCAGAGATCGTAGAGTACACGTAAGTGTCTGCTTGTGTTTCACTGCGTTAACTTTCATCCGACTCCGTATAGTCCACCGACCGATTGCGGCGCGGTCGGTTCTTGGGCAGCAGTAACGCTCAACTTCACAGTGACATCAAACGGGACCCAGTTTGACCGCCTTGGAATCTTCACGTTCCAGAACACGGAAAGTATGTTCTTTTTGACGGCGAGGCATTCCATGGCAAGGGCTGATCTGGAACTAGTCTGGCGCACTTCAACTCCAGAGCCAACCAAAGATGGTATCATTTGGACTTATACGAAAGATGTCACTCGCTACATCCCTTTGTTTGCCAAACCCGGAACTTTCATTCTCGAACTTGACAACATTGTGTCATCCACTTACACTGGGCAGTATGCGAGTATGCGAGTTTCGTTTCGTCACAGACAATGCCGTGCTAATTTACGCATCAGCCAGCCTTTATGCGACTTTCTATGCATCGTCTGGGGAATACCCTACTGCTGGACAATCTAATATGATTGTGCCGATATCTACGATGCGAAATAACACTGGGAACGAGGCTTCTGTCCCGCCAGCATTTTCTGTACGCCTTTCCCTTTCCCTTTGCATTATGAATGTTTAGTAAACCCTATCAGCTCAACGTGACACTCCCGCAAAACACTGTCGAAATCTATGCCGAGCTCTTTGCGTCCGGCAATGGAGACGAGGAATTCTGGGTGAGAGACAGTTTGTTGCGAATAACTGGAAGTCGAATCACTGATTGATTCTCCTCTCAAGTACTACAACACAGCTGACGAATATCTCAGCTATCTTCCACCTGACACAACATATGGTGGAGGCCCATTCCGTGAGGTCCGTCTCCTCGTGGATGGTCAAGTTGCTGGTGTAGCCTTTCCATATGCTGTCATCTTCACTGGAGGCATTAATCCCTCAGTTTGGAGGTATGACTCTGTTCTTTCCCAGTGTTTCTTTCGCCCATGTTGTTCACAGGCCAATTACATCATATGGTGCAATCGACCTTCCTACTTACTTCCTTGATCTCACACCCTTTGCACCGGTGTTCGCCGACGGCCTCCCTCATAATGTGACTTTGGACGTCGCCTCCGCTGAAGCAAACCACACTCTCAATCAGAACTGGTATGTTTCTGGACTCTTGCAGGTGGTCACGGATCCGTCTGGCAAACGGACGACGGGCAGCATCACAACATACGATGTTCAACCCTATGCAATAACGGAGACAACAGCGAGCATCGGCGGCGCAGATGTCAATATCACAGTAAAGGCTCAGCGCTCCCTCAAAATAGAGTCCACCATCGTCAGCGGCAGTGGGACGACAAACAATGTCGTTTTCCAGCAGAGCTTGGACTTTACAAACACACAGTATTATCTCAACAACGCCAATACTCAGGTCGGGACCTACCACTATTCCCAATAATTTGCTCATTACTCAATACATTCATCCCAGAACGTCGCGCAGACATCATCCGGCTCAGTCATCTCAACTCACAACGGAGTCCAGGTTCTTACCGACAACTTTGACTATCCCCTGTACATCGACATGATATACCTGGTTAATAATGATACCGAGTTACAATGCAAGTTTTGTCCGGTTCGACCTGCGTTGCATGACTGACCATTTTTCGCTTCAGTTTATACCACGTTCGACCACTCGTACAACCGTCAGCTTGTCCCTGCGCCTTTCATCTTGGGATCTGACATCAGTGAGCGCCAGCAGACAGGTACGATCTCTTTTTCTGCAAGAAATATGTATTTATCAGTATTTCAGCGGGTTATTTCACCTTGTCAACCACGGGAAACAGTGGGAACGGAACCAGCAACAACACCTTTTCATACACCGACCTAAAGGGCAACACGTACGCTAGGGATGTAGACGCTGCATATGACGTGATCACCTATGACAGGCAGAGCGGCAGCCTTGCAACCACTCCTTTACCCACGTCTCCTTTGGCTTCTAACTCAGAGTCCATCCCCGGTGCAAGACTCCCAGGTGGACAGGCATCAAAGGTCGTGGGTATACCGTAGATAAGTCGTAGCGATAACATCATGAATACATGTGAGCAGCTATTTATTCAACGCATGGTACACGTGCCGCCCGACAAGACCGTCCAAGCAGCCTGAAGAGCAATATCCGGGCGTGCCAGCACCCTCCCTCCACCGTCTTAAATAACCCAAGTCTACAACACCTCAACGGCGACCTATGCACGTGTTGAACGGCAAACAGCTCCGTGTTGAGACGGGGCTTCCAGCGTGGAAGCTGCGAAATCTGATGAAGATTCAGTAACCGCTATGTACCTTGTCGCAATGGTTGAGCGCGCGAGAGCAAAGCCGTCTAGAACAATCCGACTACACGCCCAGTTTGGGGGTCAAGTCCGACTTCCCAGAATCCTGCGCGGCGATTTCTCGTGAGATAGATTTGGAGAAAGCACATGGTATCACTCACCTGGGCGTGTGCCAAGCCCTGGCATGGTCTGCATGTCTCCGAGGATAGGGTATAGGAAACCAGCTCCAGCAGATAAGCGCACTTCACGAATGGGAACGGTGAAGCCCGAAGGGGCATTTTTAAGGGACGGGTCATGAGAGAATGAATATTGGGTCTTTGCCATGCAAACTGAATGAACGGCATAAATATAACTCCACAGGCATACAGAGAACAAGGACGTACTGGGCAGGTTGCCGTAGCCTTGACGAGTATAAGTGTCTAGCTGCTTGGTAGCGTGGTCGCTGAGTTCGATACCAGCCGCGCGGTATATCTCCTTGCAGATTATCTCAATCTTTTGGGCGATGGGGAGGTTGAGGTCGTAGAGGAATTTGAAGCCGGATTCTCCTTCGCAAGTTGCAACGACTGCTTCAGCAAGAGCGCGTGCACCAGCACCACCTTCTGCCCAGTGGTTGCTCACTATCGCGGCATCAGCACCAGCAGCCAGAGCCTGCTGACGAATGAGTTCAAGTTCTGCAGGGGTATCAGAACTAAACCAAAGTAAGCGAACACCCAGTGCGTGAAGTAAAGCAGCACCAACGCAAATTGGTTAATAGCAATGATAACCTTGACACCGAACTTCTTGGAGTTCTCGATGTGCCTAGCGAGGTTCTGGCAACCTTCCTTGAGGGTGACAAGATCCTCCTTGGTGTAGGTATCAGCCAGAGGCTTGCCAGGCGACACCTCAGGTCCACCACCGTGCATCTTGAGTGCACGGGTAGTTGCAACGATGACAGTAGCGTCAGGCTTGAGACCGCTAACACGACATTTGATGTTGCAGAACTTCTCCATGCCCATGTCAGCACCGAAACCACCCTCGGTCAGAACGTAGCCAACGCGGTCAGAAGAGTCACCCTCCTCAGTTCCTGCAAGCTTCAGGGCGATACGATCCGCAAGGATGGAAGAGTTTCCGTGGGCGATGTTAGCGAAGGGACCGGCGTGGACGAAAACAGGGGTACCCTCGAGTGTCTGCATCAAGTTGGGCTTGACAGTGTCTTTCATGAGGACGGCAAGTGCGCCTCCGACACCGATGTCATCAGCAGTGATGGCCTCTCCACGCTTGCTTGTGGCGACGACCATGTTGCCAAGCTTCTCGCGCATGTCAACCAGATCAGTTGTCAACGCCAGCACGGCCATACATTCACTAGCCACAGCGATGTCAAACCCAGCTTCGCGCTCGTGGCCTTTCTCGGTGGGGTTACGGCCGAGAGTGACTTTGCGCAGGAAACGGTCGTTCGTGTCGAGGACGCGGTTCCAAGTGATAGTCTCGGCGTCGATGTCAAGGCGTGCAAAGAGGTTGATTTCCTCGGGCGTTAGCTCGTTGGGGTTGGTTTTGTCGATACCGAGCTTCTTCAAGCGCTTGAGCATGAGGGGCGCGAACTCACGCTTGCCCTTCTTGGAGGGTACAAGACGACTGAAGAGACCCTGGAGAAAGTGAGCTTGTGTAACAAGTTTTCGAATGTTTACATACCTTGTCAGTCTGAGTCGCCTCATGGAACAGACGAGCGTCCAGAGCAGCAGCTGTGCTCAAAGTCAGGGATCGAGTGTCAGAACAAATTCAATGAGCCTACCCAACAAGTTGTTGGCAGCCGTGACAGCATGTATATCACCAGTCAAGTGAAGGTTGAACTGAGCAAAGAACATTAGGGCGAGATAGGATCTAAAGAAAGACAGCATACCTCGTCCATAGGGATTACCTGACTGTAACCTCCACCAGCAGCGCCACCTTTGATACCGAATGTTGGTCCTTGAGAAGGCTGACGCACACAGGCGAATGCCGGACGTCCAAGGTGGGCGCCCAGAGCTTGAGCAAGGCCAATGGTAGTCGTAGATTTGCCCTCACCCAGAGGAGTGGGTGTGATACTGTAAAATGAATTAATTTTAAACGACAAAACCCGTTCCGGTAATCTTACCCAGCAATAACGATGTATTTCCCATCTTTGCGGTGTGCCAAGCGATCCAAAACGCTAAGCTCGACCTTGGCCTTGAACTTGCCATAGCTTTCAAGTTCATCGGGCAGAAGCCCCATCTCTTTTGCAAGCTGAGTGACGGGCTTCGGGGTTTGAGCCATAGCAATTTCGATGTCGCTGGGAACTTTCTCCTTGATGTCAAGCGCCAAGGGCTTGATTTTGCGTTCCCGAGCTTTTTGCCAGAGACGGGCAGCAGAGTTGTACACATTTTCCATCAGTAAAGCAACAGTCATTGGGCCAACACCTCCTGGAACAGGAGTGATGTGCGAAGCCACAGCAAACGCGTCTTCATCGACATCACCAACAAGGCGTTGACCTGATTTCTTGGTCGCGTCTAAAGGTTATCCATATAAATAACTCGGATCGTATGCCAAGAGAAAATTCATACCCGGAATGAAGTTGATGCCAACGTCGATAACAACTGCGCCGGGTTTCACCCACGAACCTTTGACGAATGCCGACTGGCCGATAGCAGCCACCACGATATCAGCTTGGCTGACCTGCAAGTGAGTGTGAGAAAGTTGCGATATGATATCTGATAATAGATGGAACTGACGATCTGTTCAATGTTCTTGGTGCGACTGTGGCATTGGGTGACAGTTGCATCGCGACTTCTCAGGAGTGCAGCCACGGGGTTTCCGACGATGTCGCTGCGGCCGAGCACAACTGCGTTTGCACCAGCGATTGATACGCCAGTGCTTTCCAACAAACGAATGACAGCTGCTGGAGTACACGGAACGAACAACGGGGAAGCGGCGCGCGAAGACAAGTGACCGATGTTGTACGCATGGAAGCTGAATCCCTCAGAAAAAGTGATTTCCCACATGAAAACAACTTACCCATCGACATCTTTCTCGGGAGAAACCGCCTCAGTGACAGCGCGGGTATCGTCCGCGTTGACATTGGGCCCAAGAGGGAGCTGAACAAGGACACCGCTAACAGTATCGTCATCTGAAAGCTTCTTAACGACCTGGATGATCTCCTCTGCCGTAGCCGCTTCTGGGAATGTGACGTGATTGAACTTGATGCCGACTTCCTCTGCAGCTTTAGCTTTCATGCGGATGTAGGTGGTGGAATCGGGACGCTCTCCAGCTTGCACAACTACAAGCTGAGGCTGAAACCGAGGGTATTGGGCTCGGAACGCCTTGATTTTCTGCGCGACATCATCGCGGATCGACCTAGACCACGTGATTGATTAGGACAGGCTGGACTTGGATAATGGATGACTTACTTGGCTATGCTAGTGCCGTCGATGATCTGGGCGGTCATGATGGTAGAAACAAAGATGGATCTTGGACGATTTGGAACCGAAGAAGATGTTGAAATGGAAGATAAAAGGAAAGGTCGAAACGGTGGGCGAGGCAGCTTAATAAATATCATATCAAGTTACCTCTTTTGGTTATCTGTAGCGCGCAAACCAACCCACGAACCGAAGAAAATTACACACAACACTATGCAGCTAAATGATAGACGGTGAAAAATTAGAAAGACAGTGACACGGGAAAAGCAGGAGCCAAACCAACAGATTCACAGTTCTTTTTTTCAATGGTGACTTCCCTGTTAACATGGAACAGGCTCGTCAACAGATACGTAACTCGTTCCCACGACCCGACTCTTCCGAAAATTTTGGACGCGTTTGTCTCCGTTCATAAGGCACCTCTCCTCTTTCTCTTTCCTATATCATTATCATGAACTCTGCATACGTCCGTCAGGCCTTTCGTTCTTCTACGGCTTCACTGTCGTCGAGAACAATCGGTCGCTCCTCACGAGATGCGCTGTCATCTCACCGTCGACGAATAGTACTAGGCACACGACAGTACTCTGATGACAAAGCTCCTGCTACAGAGCAAAAGACGGAGGCGGATGAGGTAGAAACCGACAAGACAGAAGTCACACCGGAGACTGAGTTGCTCAAAACCATCAAAGCAAAAGAAGCCGAAACCGCGGATTTAAAGGTCAGCATCCCCCCTTGAACACTGCACGCGTTCTGATAGTTCCCCAGAGTCGGTTACAGTACCTGCAAGCAGACTTTTTGAACCTGCAACGCAATGCTGCTCGTGAAAAAGAGCAGCAACGTGACTTTGCTATCACCCGTTTTGCCGGTGACCTGTTGGAAACCGTAGATGTTCTCGCACTCGCCCTCAAGTCCGTACCAGAGGATGTTCTTGCCCAGTCAGACTCTCCCTCCCCAGACTCATCATCACCCAATTCAAAATCCGTCCAAACCTACCTTAAGGAACTGCATCAGGGCGTCGATATGACCCACCGTCTACTACTTTCTACACTCTTCAAATATCACGTCAAACCATTTGACCCTACCGGTGATAAATTTGATCCTAATCAACACGAAGCGTTGTATCAAGCTCCGATACCCGGAAAGGAACCTGGCACTATATTAGAGTGCCAGAAAACCGGGTACACGATTAAAGATCGACTATTGCGGGCGGCGCAGGTTGGCGTCGTGCAGGACACATCATGACCTATGTCATTGCTATGGACCGGAGTTTAGGTGGCACTTGTGGTGATGGGTATGCATTGCCGAGCAGGGCAGGTACTGGGAGGACTATTAGATACACTAGTAAGCACTCTGGAGCCTCTATGAGCGGTGTGGGTGGGTTGCATGCACGATAGATATTATTTTAGCACATTTAATTCACCGAATCTCAACTCTGAACCGATCTTCCAAACAGGAAATGACCTGTGTGTTGAGAGAGTTGGCCTCATCGTTCGAAAGTGATCTATTCAAGGTCAGAGAGAAACTTTTCAAACTGACAGGGGCATACCTATCCATCGAACGATAATTTATCCTGTAACAAAGGCTCTTCCGGTTAGTTTTCGGGTGAGTGAAACTGTCGATCTACCCGGACGTCAGGTCAATTCTCGCTCAGTTCAGGACAAAACTCACCAATTTCACGTCCTCCACCACATCTCCAGCTACGTCCCGAACAAGGTCGCAGAAATCATTTTCATGAAGTGTCTCGCCTTCGGGGAGCCAAAAGCTCACGTCCTTAAAGCATGCAGGGTATTTCGAGTACGGTTTGAATGTGGTGATTTCGCCTTGCTTAAATTGCGAGAGGAAGCGCGGGTCCTGGGACCAGAATAGACGAATGTCGGGTATAGAATATAAAATCATCGCTATCCGTTCGAGACCAAGACCAAATGCCCAGCCCAGCTTGTCGGGAACATCTATTAACGCGTTATTCGTCACGTTATAATATGTCAAGACATCAACGTACTCGCATTGTCAAGTGTTGGCTGATAAATGACTCCACAGCCGAGAATTTCCAGCCATTTACCACGGAAGAAGACCTCGACCTCAAAACTTGGCGTCGTCCACGGGAAAGTAGCCTCTATCCACCGTACTTTAAGCGGGTCGTCGGTAGCACCAACACGTCCACCGAACAAATGTAGCATTAAACTATTCAAGGATAATTTCAGATTCTTCGCGATTATTTCCGTATGTTTCGGGTCATGCGCTGGCTGGCAAGGATTCGTAGGCGATAGATGGGGGACATCTTCAATTTCTATACTGGACCGTTCCAAATGGGCTACGAGGCGTTCGTTGTCCTCTTCGATCTCCTTCATGCCCGCTGCGTTTGCTGAAACGATCCGCGCGCCCTCTGTTTGGTGGAATACAGGGTAATGCGACCCATCTATCTCATCGCGCCGGTACACGTCTGCGGTAAGCAACCACTTTGTCTCTCCGCGTCCAAACACCTCGACTTCGTGTGCAGAAGTGTGAGTGCGCAACATGAGGTCCTTGTTGACATAGTAGCTGTCTGTCACGGACCGGCCAGGATGGTCTGCTGGGAAAGACAGGAGATCAAAATTTTGATACGGAGTGACGAGGGGAGAGAGCGAGGAGAGGTGAGCGTATGAGGGAAAGTGGGATTCTATGAGTGCTCGGAGAGTACTGAGGGGATGCGAGGGTTGTGTGTGTAGTTTCAGTGGGAGCTTAGACACAATTGTGGGAGATATGTTTGTCATGTGGTCGGTGGGGTACTCTTCACCTAGCACCGTGACATGACACGGTCGTTTGGCGGCCATGTTAGCGAGGTGCCGCGAGGGTACTCCTCTCCCATGAATATTTCGCCATAGTGATCCAGGTAAACGCATTTAGCGTGAGTTATTCTCACTAGAAGCCACCGATGAGTACTAGTCCTCGATGAACCGTTGCAAGCTCACCTGTTGGTCCTCCTGCTCTAATGCTCAACTTTGTTAATTTACGCGTTTGTTTGTACTTGTTGTCTAAAAGCTTCAAACAAATCCAAACTTGGTTATGAGCACAGCCACTTCGAGCTCTGATGTCCCGAGTCGCCATCAGGGATTCGGCAGACTCAAAGGTGAACAATTTCTGTGTATCAACGCACAGGAAGCTCATCAAAATAAGCCCTCGCTCAGCAAACGAAAATTATCAAAGAGACTCCTCATCGATTCTGATGAGGAAGAATTTGACGACGCTGCGGACGCTGGCTTTGAGCCTCCACGCGTCAAACGCTCTCGTACTGCAGAACTAGCATCGACGGGCCATGAACATAATGAAGCGAATCATGATATGGATGTAGATGTTGATGGGGAGGTGGATGCAGATGAAGAGACGCGGTTTCTACCGCCTGACCCTATCGACCAACACGCCGCCACCGCTCCAGTTGCTCCCGGTCAAGCTCGGAAGAAGAGTAAGGCGGATGTGGGTGCGAAGCATATAAAGAGGGCAGATTCTGCAACCGCAGCCAAGAAGAAGAGACAACCGGTGTTTTCCTCCGACGCAGAGGATGCCGAAGTCGACATTGATGACCTCATGGACGAGGATGATTTCCTTGACGAACCATTCCCAGATATCGAAGAAGAAGAGTTTGAACCTGAAGCTGCGCCAAAGCGTGGTGGAAAAGCAAAGGCGTCTTCGTCTGCGAAGCCTAAAACTACCAAGGTCAAACTGGTTTTGGGGAAGGGTGGCAAGGCGAAGGGTGGAAAAGAAAAGGAAAAAGAGAAGGAGATCATGATCAAGGACGAGCGCAAGATACCTCCTCCTGGCACCCCATCTGTGTCTACCAGCGTCACAGCCCAGAGTCAGATATCTGAACTCTTTGCAGATGACGAGCCCTCCGTTCATCCACCATCAGTGGTCGATCCTGCTGTCGCATCTGATCAATCCGCCTTGCCGCCGCCCGAACTGAAGAAGCGTAAACTCCCAACAATTAAGAAGAACAAACCTTCTGCTTCAACTGCCACTTCCGCTCAATCCCAGTCCGCCGCCGCTTCCTCCAAGGCACCACCTTCAACTGATGATATATCAAAAATCAGTGCACCTGCTCTTTCGCAGCGTAAGGCTGCAGGTCTCATGGGGGCAGCAGACTTTGACTTGCGAGATAAAAGTGTGTACGCTGAGCTCTTTAAAGGGGTAAGACGGTTGTGGCAATATTTTTGCACGTTTACATGATTATTTGTTCTGCAGGCTGGCGGTAGTACTCCTCGGTCTGGACTCAACAGGAGGGAAAAGGAGGAAGAACGAAGGAAAGAGCTGAACAAGATGCGTGATGAAGCAAAAGCTAAGCGTGCGGAAGAAGCTGTTCGTTTTTTCTCTTGTTCGCATCAGATCTTTGTTTCTGAGTCACAAGCAGAAACATCATTTCGATCTACAGTCACAAGCAGACAAGATCGCAGGTTTTGAACAGAAACTCAGAGCCCACAATAGCATGGCTTTGCACCCAAATTTCCTTGCTGCCAAGTTCCGAGAGGAGTATGACAAGGAGAGGGCGCGTCTACGACACCACAGGGAGCGGAGCCAGAGTGCCACGAAAGAGGAGGGAGAGGCTTGAAGCTTGGTTTGTTATGTTTTTACTTGTACATCTTGCTTTCGGACACGCAACACTATCACCTAGCCTGTAAATACATCATTGCAATATTACAAACCCTTCTATACTCTTTGCTAGCACAACCGACACTTCGTCGCGTCTCTCATCTTGGTTTCTGGCCGGCTCCTGGGGGTGGCTTGTACATAGGCGACACGAGATTGGCGGATGTCTTTGTTACCTGGTCGAAACAAAGATCAAACCACTTTTTGTCGGCCGTGGGTTTGCTAGGTGTCGATGCTGACTTATCTCCCTCGATACTGAGCGCGGAGAGCTGTTGTTCTATGGAGGCCGTATCGGGGAAGAATATTCGTAGCTGCATCTGGAGTGCATTAACTATACCCAGCAGCGCCAACGATTCCTTCCTGATCGTAGCAGGGTTCTGAGGAGCATACAACGAGGAGACCAGTTCGTCGGACGCAGCAAGGAGTGCGTGTGACTGCAAAAGCAAGGCATCTAGAGCAACGCTTGGAGGCGGTGGGGTCGGTGTAAAAGACAGCAGATCCAAGAAGATACGCTTGTGCAATAACGTGGTTAACCGCAGTACCGAGTGAACCTGACAAATGACGTGTTTAAAAAGAACTGATTTGAAAGTAGCAGACAAGTGCTGTACATTTTTTGCACGCGCCAGCTCGTCCTTGTCCATCTTCGCTCCTGAGTCAGCTAAACCGAGCTCACCCCAACCGTCGTCATCATCATCGTCATCGACATCATCGCTTTCATTCCCTTCGGCTCCGTCTATCATTTCAGACACCTCTCGAAGACCATCTTCGAGAGCCCCTCGATCCTGTTTCCATCTTCGACAGATTGCAGATATGTTATCTTTTGGTATTCCGTTGGGCCCTCGCGCTTGGGTTATGAGATCGTGAAGAGTGCCTGTCCGGACTAGATACTCTTCTCCTGCTGAGCCACTCCTTGCTATCGACGGACCACGGGCAGCAAGGTTCAAAAAGGTCTGCACGATTGCACGCAAAGCCTCCAAAATAACCGTCACCTCATGCTGCACCTCCTTAATAAGTGTCGTCCCATGTAATTCAGGATTCAAAATATGAATGCAATGTGCGATCCCAGAAGTATATTTCGTTAGATCCACGATCACAGGTAGAGAAGCGGAGTATGTAGGAGATGATGGTTTGAGCGCGAGAGCAAGTTTGGTGCTGGAGTTGTATATGAGCGAAAGGAGAGAGTCTAGGTCTTTTAGGATCACGCTGAGGTCGGAGGTTTGGGGCTCAGATTTATCGCGCTGATTTCGGGAAGAGAGTGCGGAGAGTGCAGCGGTGCATGTCTCGGACGCAGAGGTTAGAGCGACGATGACTGGTAGCAACAACTATTCAGAACAGATTTGATGAACTAGTGAGCGGCTCACCTTTCTGCTTGTCAGTCATGTTCAGTTTCAAAACATCATCTAATGATTCTAATCAGTCTCGATATCCAAAAGAGAGATGTCGGCTTACATAACGTTGACGGTTTTTCTTGCGTGTACGGTGGAAGCTCTTGTCGCTTGCACAGCACCATTCCCTCATACTTTCCGGTGCATGTCCGTTCACCTCCTGGTAAGCCAATTGTCAGTTTGATCGCACGCTACTGTATTGAGCATCCTGTTTCATAGCTACCGGGTATCCTGCGCGCCCAAGGGCGTTCAGTCGCTTCTCTGCCTCCAAAGTCATATTTACCATTCCGCTCGTTCTCTAATTCTCGACCAATACAACCCTTCTCAAGATTTACGCTCGCATCTAAAGCATCCCCACTAATAGCCCAAACCCGGTTCCAACCACTAAGTGCGCAGCCGTGTCTACGACGCGCGCTGTCATTATTCCCTTGGTCAAAAGCATCTTCTACACCTGCCCCAGCGGTCGTTGCGAAGGTCGCTCGTCTAGAAGCAGATGCTAACGCAAATCCAGATGATATTGCCAAGCAGCTGGCCCTGTATCAAGTTCTTGTAGACACACAAGTGAAAGCTGGGTATGAAGTAGTAATAACTCGTTGGGAGAGGATGTGCGAATTCGTAAATATGTTTTGCATTTCATATCTGTGGGCTCATTTAACTCATGAATTATTTCGCTTTTGATAGAATTCAGCATCGCCGCTTCTTCAGTCCGATGCGGCGTTCCAGTTGTACCTTACATCCTTGCTCAAGACTGGTCAAGAGGCCTCTGTCAACTTGGCCGTTCGCAGACGCGATTCGCTTCTTGCTGCTTCGGCCGATGGTACTACTACCGCCTCAGACGCTTCACAAACCGATTCTCCGACTACCACTTCGCCTCCTTCATCTGACGCTCCTTCAACATCATCACCCACACCACCCCCATCCCGAAGTCAACAGATTGCTTCCGATGTACTTGCTGGGCGTGCAGAACCTTTACTTGCGGCCTCTCGTCTTGACGGTGCTTCGGCTTCTCAGAGCACGGACATGGCAAATCTTGCAGCTGCCCTGAGTAAGGGCAGTGGCGTAAGTGGTAATCCGATTCATGTCACTATTAGTGAACGTAAGTGGTCCTCAAAATGTACGAATACATGCCTCTCACCTCGCTTCCAGCGAAAGGATCTACAATCATGCGTCTTGTGCGGTTCTTAGTTTTGACTGCCTTGGGTGGATTCTGTAAGTGCATTATCAGATGATGAGCTTCAGGTCATTAAATCTCGTGTTCTTTTGACAGTCATTCTTGTCATCTTGTCTGTGCTCTTGGAGAATTCTGGCTTGCTAAAACCTGTTCCTCGGCAAGCAGAGTTTGAGCCACTTCAACAGAGAACCATACGATTTAGCGACGTCCATGGTGTCGACGAAGTGAAAGAGGTAAGTTTGCAGCTTATTGACTGCTTGAGAAGACTTAAATTTCATGCCCATCTAGGAACTCCACGATATCGTAGAATTTCTCAAGGATCCCACTGTCTTTGCAACTCTTGGTGGTAAACTTCCAAAAGGCGTCTTGCTAACAGGACCTCCCGGAACCGGTAAAACCATGCTCGCACGTGCTATTGCCGGAGAAGCGGGAGTGCCATTTTTCTTCGCATCCGGCTCCGAGTTCGAGGAAATGTTCGTGGGCGTTGGTGCCAAGCGTGTCCGAGAACTTTTCGCAACCGCTCGGAAGAGACAGCCCGCCATTATTTTCATCGACGAATTGGATGCTGTTGGTGGGAAGCGCAGTCATAGAGACCAACATTACATGAAACAGACATTGAATCAACTGTTGGTTGAAATGGACGGTTTCTTGCAAACTGAAGGCATCATCGTCATAGCCGCGACTAACTTCCCGGAAAGTTTGGATCTGTCAGTGCTAGGCTTGTCATATTTGGTCCTGGTCCCTGACAATTCCTTGTGTAGTGCTTTGACGCGCCCGGGCCGCTTTGACAGGATCATCGCGGTCCCTTTGCCCGATATCCGTGGCCGAGTCCAACTGCTTCAACATTTCATGAAAGAAGTGGTCGCAAGCGTTGGTACGTTTTTTTCTGCTACGTGGTACAATCCTATCACTAAATCATGATGGGCTTACCTTTAGCTGTCGATCCGAAAGTGCTAGCGCGGGGTACGCCAGGATTCTCTGGTGCTGAACTGCAAAACATGGTCAAGTGAGTGCAACACGTTTTCTTGTCTGTCAGAAACTTTGACGCATTAAATTTTAGTCAGGCGGCCATACAAGCGTCAAAGGAAGGTTTCAGTGAGGTCACATTAAAGCACTTCGAATGGGCCAAGGCACGCGTTCTTCATTTGCCGGCTAAGTTAGAGGTCGATTTTCTGACCCTATCTCACATTCATGTAGGATCGCATTCTTTTGGGAGCCGAGCGGAAGAGCGCATACATTGACGAGAAGAACAAGTTGTTGACAGCTTATCATGAGGTGCGTCATCAGCCACACGAATCTCGCGGAGAAATTGCGAAGTCTGATGAACGGTTGTAGGGAGGACATGCCCTGACAGCTCTTTATACAGAAGGTGCCATGCCCCTCCACAAAGTCACGTGTGTTCCCCGTGGTCATGCGCTGGGCGTTGTGCGTGCCTCGGACCTTTCAAAAGACGAAGAATCTTACTGATTCTTGCATTTATCAGACTTCCCAACTTCCTGAAGATGACCGGTACTCAGTAACACAGATGGAGTTCAAAGCTACGATTGACGTTTGCATGGGCGGTCGCGTAGCGGAGGGACTTAGTGAGCTTTTCTCACCCTGATCTCCCACAACTCCTGACTAGGAATTTCAGTTTATGGGACTGGTGGCCTCACAAGTGGCGCCTCATCTGATCTCCAGCATGCCACTCGCACTGCGACCGCTATGGTCAAGGTTAGCATAAATCAAATTCTTTCTCTCGAGGCATTACGTGACTCACCACTACTTTGGTGACATCTGTAGAAATGGGGTTTCTCGGAAAAAGTTGGCCCAGTATTCTATAGTGATCAAGATGAAGCGATAAGCCCTGCCACAAGGGAGAAGATAGATGCGGAAATCACCAAGCGAGTACCTTCTGTTGAGTTGTTGCCATTACGCTGACTGTGCTGCCGTTAGATTACTGCAACAAGGTGAGGCGCGGGCGACCAAACTCCTAACAGAAAAGAAAGAGGAACTACATCGGGTGAGCGCATCCCTTTTCCTGGTACTCTTTGCATCTCATCACCTTCCGTTTGTGCGCCTGCAGCTTGCGCACGCCCTAGTAGAACACGAAACTTTGGATGCCGAGGAAGTAAAGAAGGTCATCAGGGGCGAGCCAATACGGAATATCAAGGAAAAGATTTCCCACGATGAGGTCGCGGAGGTTGCGTCAGAGGAAATTCCTGCACTGACATGAGGTGCATCTTACTTTTTGCACGAACATTAGACTAAGTTGGGGGTTAGGACGTATAATGCATGTTTTGTATATCTCAGGGCTGAGCCAGGGAGATCTCCTCGCTTTTTATGCGGTTGTCTGTTCTTGGTTTGAGATCTGCAAAAACGAACGTTGAATGATCTCCGTGACATCTTCAATAGAAGCTAGCTTCAGGCGGGGAACTTGTTATTTGCATCAAGTGGCAAGGTGGGATTAAGTCAAGAAGATGCCTCTGGCAAGCTTTACACCGCGAGTTTTATGGGTCGCTGATTAATTCTGTACGTCAGTGGACCGTTGTTATGCGCAACCCATCACGTTTTCGTTGTGCACTTGTCGCCTCGTCTCCGATCCTCGACGACCGGACAAGAACCGCGTCCCTTTCACACAAAATTGCCATCGCTATTACTATAGCGTGTATAGTCGTGACTAAACGTCTCTACACGTCCATCTGGCCAAGCCTGTCATGGCGATGGCATCCCTTCAGTTCCCGGGGTGGACATGCTTTTGGCGCCATTGATTAACCAGTTGCCAGAGCCGAAGACGGATATGAATCGGTATGGATCGGTATGAAGACGGCATCCTGAAACGTCACGCCACGCACTGACAGATGCATCTGGTCAACGAAGTTTTTGATACTGATAGATGCTGATATGGTGTCACCCAATCACGTATTGAAGCAGCAGCATGTATGCCACAGCATGCCACAAATTCAGAAACTCGAGGTCAATCTAACAATAAATCCGGACCATGCTCTGATAACAACAGTGCAGATGGTTACATCCTCGTAAGTTCCTCAATTCAACGTGAGTAAATTAATTGACATTCGCGGTACCATGTGAGCATCAAATCTATAATGCGGAAGCCACGCGCTTATACGGCGAAGACATTTTACCTCACGGTCGATGACTGAACATCGAGCAGAATAAGGCGACAGGAGAATATTGTTCTATCTGAGCTCTACCGCATCAAAAGATGGATTCGGGTGCCGTTTACCGGTGGGCCTTGTTATAATCATGTATACTAAAAACAACGAGCAACTTCTCTGCCAAGGCTAATATCGGTACCGTGACTCTCACATTCTTTATCAAGTATGTGATAGCTGAACTCAGTTGCAGGATTTCGCCTTTCACCGAATGTTATAAAGGTTTGTTAAAGGCATATAGTCCCATCAAGGGAGGCTGTTATCGCAGATATGCATTAAGTTCAAGAATAATACTTCCTGGTGCCGCATCGATCGCCGAGAGAATGCGGATGTATATCATATTGCCCGCACGTCACGATTCAAAATTTTGCCGATTCCAGCGCGGGGTTTCGAAGTCGTGGAAGAACTTCCAGAGCAAAGATCAAAAGACTACCAGTGACATTGACGCGGCTTCAATTCGGCTTTCTTGATCAGTGGTGGATTTCATCGATTGACAATTTTGTCCAAATGGAGAGGGGATCTGGAAAATCTGCACAATCCTTAGCCCTTGTGTACGGCAACATGCGGGCAAGAGACATGTCATCTGATTGACCGAGGTGGGAACATTGTCTAACATGGTTGACTTGCAGGAGCACGCAGCAATGTTCATGTAAATTTGGAAGTTGAGAACACGTCGCCGTTCCGAAATGAAGACCAGTTGAAGAGTTTTTTCAGCAAGAAATAACTCTTTAAAAACAGCGCTGATCCCGGCTATG